CTGGAGAAATGTTTTTATGGATGAGATGAAGGAAGAGGGAAGTAACAGTTAATCAACGGTCGTACATTTTTGCAGGCTTATAATTTCCAGAGATAGTGAATAATTTGTTTTTCAATTAATATTATATTGGATTAAGTACTAAAGCAAAGAAATTGTAAATCCTCCAGTGCACGTATGCCTTGCTTAATCGCTGCTTGATGCCTATAAAATCACCCAAGTCTATAATTGGAGGCAATCTCTTCTCTCTCTCAACTGAAAATCTCTAAAGCTAGATGATCTGAAGACATCCTATATATCTGCATATATCCCAGCAATTAAGAAGCCCGCCACATCGCATAACCAAATGTGGCCTGAACCAGAAATGACAACGGCAGCGTCTCCAAACATAATTCACCTCTCTCCACCGTTACCTCTCACTGCAAAATCATGCGATCCCCACGCCCATGGCTGTAGATGGTGGCCTTACTCCAGTTCTAATGATTTTGGAGCCAACACAGCCGTGATCCTCATCATCCTGCTCTGTGCATTGATATGCGCTTTAGCTCTCAACACTGCCATCCGCTGCTTCCTACGCGGTGCTCATCGCCCAGCAGACCGCCTTCCCCAAAACCGACAAGAAATAGATGGTCAGCAGCGGAAACCAAACAATGAAGCAGGCGCTGCGCCCCTGGTGGTGGCCCCAATCTCGGTGTATTTAACAGGGATGAGATTGGGTGGGGCAGAGGCCGAATGCGCCATTTGCTTGTCGGAGTTCGTGGAGGGGGAAGGCATTCGAGTTTTGGGAAGCTGTAAGCATGGGTTCCATGTCCACTGCATCGAGCAATGGTTGTCTCGCCATTACTCTTGTCCCACTTGTCGTCGCAGTTGTCTTTCCCAAGAAACTCCTGACTGTTGCCCACGAAATGACCTGGGCAACACATCCGGGCAGCCGGTTCCGGAACAGTTAATGAGTATACCTTAAACGTGCACATGTGTAAATGTAAGAAGTATTTTTTGTCTCTGTTTTAAATTTATTTTTGCTCAAGTTTTTTTCCATTCATCATATCTATAGCATTTGACAAATGCCACAGCCTCTGGAAAAATGTCCAATTCTGGGAGCTACTCATTCTCGGAAACTAAGAAATTATATGAATTACAGATTAGGATTATTGGCATGAGGCATAAAATCCTGTACACCAATCCTTCTACAAGAAATATTAAATCTTATTGGTCTTTCCGGATAAGATATGTATAATTCATTGCCATGCCAGTTTGGGCAGAGTACCATTTGGTAGTTGGCAAAATTCATCCCAGTGACAAGAAAAGATAGGACCTTTTTGGTGTTTCGGAATAAATTTCTGTTTACAACCATCACTCTTAGCAGAGGAATTCTTAGATTGCCTTGCCTGACATTTAAAAGGAGTCCTGACCTTAACATCTAATTAATCATCCGGTCTCTCTTATAAAGTTCCTCGTCTCCTTCCAAGGCTTATTAGCTTAATGGTGCCACTGTTTACTTAAACCGACGACAAAGACTCAAAAAGGTAACGGCTGGAAGATTGGAACTTTTGCGCGAAGTGATTTGTGGTGAATAGAAACAATCATCTAACGTTAACCATCTTGCTTTAGCATTGTCCTCATATGTTTAGATATATTCGCTGCTCATAATCTCTGCAAGCAGCGGCTTTAATTAAAAACTTAAAAGCCTCAAACCATCATTTTGGTTTTGAATAATGTTCCTCCCAGGCATGTCGTAAAAGAAAAAAAAATGCTTCAGCTCCTTTTTCTTTAGTGTTTGATATGCTAGTCGACAAAGTAACTGTTGCTGGGAACTGGTGAGGTGCTTCTGGATATCAAGAACAATATGAATATGCTCATCACTGTGAGTTTTCCAAATACATAAGCCATAGTTTTAGCTAATGGATTGTTATTCATATCATTTATGGGAATCACACATTTGGTGTTGCTAAATGCTAATAATAAGCATACTGTTGTTCTTATATCTGTTATGCATATCTTGTCAGGTCTCCATCAATTATAAGTGTCCCATTTTATGACCTTTTGCTTGGTTAATTTTTTTGACGAATCTGCAGTGTTCAGGCTTTGGAAATCCTGTACGGAATCTGTTGTCGTGTATGTTTGAATGTAATTGTAAATTATATCAAGCTATTAACCTGTTAGTTAACTAATGGATTGCCAAATGAGCAGCAGAAAAGCTTCCAAAAGAAACCGAAGAGTCCTACTGACCTGTCATCAATATTTTTCACTTCAAATACAATTTCCAGTTTCTTTTTTTTAGTTTTATGCTTTCTATAGCAGTTCTCATCTATTGTCAATTTGTTTCTGTTCATAATCGCTTGATCACGTAGTTCAGCTCTCATGGGACCAATTAGTTGTTTTGTACTCCCGTATCAATTACTTGAATGTAAAACTAGACTTCATTAGCGTCAAGTCAAGAAATGGAGAGGAAAAGAATTGGCTCAGTATCATATCAAGTTGGCTGGCGAGTTTGTGTTGTTTTTTCTGTTTGTTTTGTCAAGACTCAAGAGACTATCCGCTGTTCAATGTTCCACGCTAATATGCTAAACCAACAAGTCATTGTGATATAACAAAATGGATGATTATTGATTCCACTGGGAAAAATGCGAACTTAATGACGATTCATTTTATTACTTCTTTAGAAATTTATTTTTTTTTTCAAATTGAAAGAGTGTAGCTATTTTTAATTTTTTTTATTTCAGAAAATAATTGTCTGAGATTTAATTTTTTGTTTTTTATTCTGTAATCAGTAGTATAAAACTTAAATTTATTGCCATCTTATATATGTACTTATATCTAGAGTGTACAAATGAACTTTTAATTATAAAATTTATTTATAAATTATAAAATTTGATTCTAATTGTGTTGAATTTTATAATTTTTAATTTTTCTAAATAAAATAAATATTTTCATTTATAATAAATATTAAAAATATAAGAGAAAATAAATTTCATATCAAATCAAGCTTAAATTGTTTTTTACTGAATACTCTTTTGGGCTGCAAGCAAGCCTTCTTGAAAAGTGAAATTCGATAATTTGATAAGCAATTCGGAATTGGATAACGAAAACAAAGTAGGGAAAAAAACAAAAAGTGGAAATGGCGCACGTGAGTAACACGAGGTAATATTAAAATTGGGAATTGGGTTTTTATTTATTTATTTTTTTTTTCCTCAATCGGTGAGAAGAGCTAAAACCCTAATCAGAGAACGTATTTGGCAGTGGTGAAAAATAGGCAAATCAAAGGCGAAAAGACGGTGGAATCCGGATGAGGAACTGGTTTGGCGGTGGCGGAAATGTTGGCACAATAAGGAGTTCTTTGGTGAGGTATTTCTCGCGGGCACGCGCAGTGAATGTGAGGAAGATAAACCCTAAGGTTCCGTTCCCTGAAGCTGCTTACATTTCTCAATCTCTTTACAGTATCATCAAGCAGCATGGACCTCTCACCGTTTCCAATACTTGGAATCATGCCAAGGTTCTCTCTATTATTTGACTTTTCAATCTAAGTTTTGCAGTTTATTTTGTTCCATGAACTTGTGATTTATTAAAAAAACGTCCTTTTGCGCATCACACGATCAATATATTAGTGAAATGGTAACATAACCCCGTTTGAAGACAGTGTTAAACCGTTTAATTCAGATAAACTTCTCGGCTCTCAAACAGAAAGCAGAGCTTTTTCATGTTCTTGCTAAGAACGTACATGTTTATCAATTTATTTGCTCGTACTCAAATTGCATTTTGGATTCCGATGTTTTGGAAATTTTGAATAGACCTTTTCTATGATCAAATTATTACTGCTTCTGGTCTTCTGTTGAATTGCATTTTTGGGCATGTTTTGTGAACAAATTCTACCGACTGATTCGGTGCATACTGGGATAGGTGGAATATGGACCATTATGGCTCACACATGTACTTTTATTGCATTACAGATATCATTGTATCCGGGAAATCAACAGTTAATTGTGCTGTTAGTAATTGGAATTTATGCTTGTAGGAGGATTCTATTTTTTAGCAGCAACCAAGCAGGAGATGCTAATAAGACACCTTGTGGTCTTCATTAATTTGCTGCATGTATATTCATATGTCTGATTCTTTTTTTTTTTTTTTCTTATTATTTTTCCTTGACAGGAGTCAAATATCAGTGGATTAAACAGTAAAACCCACATGAAGATACTGCTTAAATGGATGAGAGGGAGGAAGATGCTAAAGCTGTTTTGCAGCAATGTTGGTTCCAGCAAGAAGTTTTTGCACTGCACTTTGCCTGAGGAACCCCAAACTGACCAAATGAAAGAACTATCGGAGTTGAATCTGCAGACTGACAAGAAGACTTCAACAAAGAGGAAAAAAAAACAGAAATGATGTCCTGGGACTTTCACTGATTGAGGAATGCATAGCGTGCAATTATACTCTCTTTTTTAGTCTTCATTTGGATGGATGGGTTTTAACACCATTTTTCTGTTATCAATGTTCTTGAATACTTTGCTAATGCATTAGGCCTTGCTAAATTGCGCTCTTATCCCTCTGTACTGTCAGACTTTTAATTATGCCCTTGTTTCTTGATTTTTCTTTTATGAATTTAATAAAGACAAGATTTTTTAACGTAACTCTAGATTTAATTTCTCATGCAACAAAGAGACTGTTTGCTATGGGGCAGTGTGATGCAGTGTTCTGCCTTTGATTCCTTGTACCGTGTTTAGATGTGATTGTATTGCCGAATTGCTTTTTATGCTTCACGAGGAAGAAACTAGCTTAATTAGATTTTCTTGACTCTTATTCATCCTAAGATGGTTTTTAGTTCTGCTCTGTCGTCCTGTTCTTAAGCATGTTGAACGATGAAAGGCTTCCTTTTTATTAAATTTTTAACCGCAAGACTCCTACGATCAATGGTATGTGGGTGGCTATAACTTAAGGTTGACTTATGTTTGTCTCTTTTAGCATGGTTGATGAGATTGACATCCATACTGAAATGAGGTTCCTATAGCGAGTTGTTTATATGGCTATGCCAGTGTGCCAGAAAATAGTGATGCTAAATGCAGCCACCATTCTAGAGGTTGCAATATTAGCTCTTTAGCTGGGAAGGGAATCAATGGTATCAGAATCTGTTCTAATCCTTGGCTCTCTTGTAATGTTGCTCCATGCTCACACAGCAATAATGAATTGAAATCTAAGTTGTTTGGTAAAGTTTGAAGGATATGATTTTGCTGATAAAATAATCAGAAGATATAATTGTAAAGCTAGCTAGTTAAGAAGGAATAGGGTTCTGGTCCCCGAGGGCGAGACAGTATATAATATATGGAGAATGAAGATGAAATTTAAGAGTGGCTGCTCAGCGCGAGATCAAATGATGCATAAGTCACCAGCATTAGCATATAGAATCATAGCTACATTGGAGCTTGAAAGCTGCATTATCCTGATTAAACTTTCTGTGGCTGTGTAGTTAAGTCGTTAGTTGAAGTTGGGCCACTTAACGTAATTTCCAACATGTTTATTGGTCTTTTAAATCTTTTGATAAGAGTCTATTATTTTATAGGCCTTCCAAGATCAGAAGTTCTGAGCCGTAAACATCAAATGTGGGTTGGATCGAGCATGGGCTCGGCCAGTCGGCTATTGCAAAATTTGCAGAAGTTCCATTGACTATTTATATTAGTAGGGCAGAGGATAGGGCTACCGTTTATTGTCTATCTATCACATAGCAAAGTGTTGAGTTGCTAGGCTGGTAACTGGTATGTGATTCCCTACAGTGCACACATCTCTTCTCTCATCGTTCTTCTTTGTTATAAGTTTCAGTTATTTATCTCTGTCTCTCTCCCTCTCCTTCTGGTACTCCGGCCAATCTTAGCGCTTACAACTTAATTTGGTATCCTGTCTCTATATGTTTGTTTCATGGCATTCGTTTTGATTGCAATTTCAAGTTCTAATTACATCTTAAAGCTTCGGTTTTGATGCTTGAAACCTTGCTTTCAAATGAAATAACAACAAATTTTAATCATTTACAAAGAGCACTTTGATTTTCTAAATTCGCTCACACATATATCCAGTTTTAAATCCTACTTTCTACAGTGATGCAGTTGCTTGAGCTATTAAAGTTTAATTCAAGAATACGATCCTGCTCAAGGAATCATCATTCCTACATATTCAAGCAATTCAATTCTATCGTGCTCCTTTTTACCTCAGCCTGAGTGCATTGATTTCTTCCTAGTTGGAAACTTGGAATTCATCCATCCACTAAACTTGCAACAAATATGATCCAAAAATTACCCTTTGATTTTATGTTATTTTTTTCTTCTCCCTGGATTCTTGTATTTCGAAATATTGGCTGTCTTTGTGCGCAATTATCTGTCAATCAAGTTATACATCTGTTGCATGAGAAAAGATAGGATTGGGTTGGGATCTGCTGTTTTTATCCAGCCTCATTATAAATTTTAAAATTCTGCTTCAAAATATTAGATGCAACTTGTGCGGTTTTTGTATCATGTTTTGCTATTTCGTTTTTCATTTATATAATATAACCATGAATCGTATTTATTTGACGAAAATGATGTCCACATGTCTTTCACAGAGAGTAATGCGCCTATGGTTTATGAGTTTATGGTGGAATAGTTAACACTAAACATGAGTTGTGAGATTGTAAAAGAGGACTGCCTTGCATGGGCAGCTAGAGATCCATCTGGAGTCTTATCACCATACAAGTTCAGTCGTAGGTGAGTTTGATGTGTTTTCCTCTTTAGTATATATTCTGCAAAAAATATGGAATTTTCCAGTTAGAGCTGTTTTTTCAAATTACCATGTAAAATTTGCTGACTATAAACAAATGGGAAAGATTCATATATTGCGTTTTCTCTCATTTATTCATCCTGCATTTTGAAAATTTGTCATTCCGACTGCTCACACCATCAAGTGTCCAAAATATTAACCTTGCATGATCTGTTGGTTTCATGTATGGGTTGCCCATACATGAAAATCACTTCAGGGATGTTGGTGGAGATGATGTTTCACTAAACATTACACATTGCGGAGTCTGCTATGCTGATGTTATTTGGACAAGGAATAAACATGGAGATTCAAAGTATCCCTTGGTGCCAGGGTATGCCGTCTGATTATATAATCTCACTGCTTTGCTAGTTTTCCAAAACTAAAGAATCCATGGTTAGCTGCATGCAGACATGAGATTGTCGGAATTGTAAAGGAAGTTGGTTCCAACGTCAGCCGCTTCAAGGCTGGTGACCGTGTTGGAGTAGGCACTTATGTCGGCTCATGCAGAGATTGTGAGTACTGTAATGACGGGCAAGAAGTTAATTGCGTAAAAGGGACAGTTTACACTTTTAATGCTATTGATGTCGACGGTACAATCACAAAAGGAGGATATTCTAGCTACATTGTTGTCCATGAAAGGCAAGAGCTGTGCATTGAATATCTTTATTATATCTTTTATCTTCTCTTGAAAACAATTTAAAATCCACTCTATCATGTTTGTTTCTTATGACTTTGAAGAAATTAGTCTGTACTGCAATAAAAACCATTGTCTACTTTAGGATATGTAACTTCCAATGCAACAGTTTTAACTTCTATTTATGATGCCTTCCTCACAGACATCTTGGATCAAATGGGATGATTTTATTCTATTACATAGAGTCAGAGAGTTAATGAAGGGATTAACCTGAAATCTCAGTGTGATTTTGTTTGCTTTGTTGAGCTCATAATTAGTTATAGATTGATGCTTACTGTTGCCTCCTGAATCCGACCCTTTTTGCTCCTTCACTATCAGAAAGTAACATGAGGCTTTGATTTTAGATCAAGAAAATTTGTTGTTGGGGGGTTGGGGGGCGCGGGGTGCACCTGATGTGACAGCTTATAGAGAATCATTTGTTTGCCTGATTTTCAGGAAATTTGACCAGGTTTTACAGCATTGAAAATGTTCATGTTGATGTCAAATCTGCAGGTACTGCTTTAGAATACCAGATGATTATCCTATGGCCCTCGCTGCTCCTCTGCTTTGTGCTGGAATTACTGTTTACAATCCCATGATGCGACATGGGATGAACCAACCTGGTAAGTCCTTAGGGGTTATTGGGCTTGGTGGTCTTGGTCACATGGCAGTGAAGTTCGGGAAGGCCTTTGGACTGAAAGTAACAGTTTTTAGCACAAGCATATCCAAGAGAGAGGAAGCCTTGAGTGTGCTAGGCGCTGATGATTTTGTTGTCTCATCAGACCCAGAGCAGATGAAGGTAAAATGACATAAAGCCTCTTAAGGAGTACATTTTTCTTGGCACATAGTATCAAAGAAAATACTCGGTCTGTGATTTTTCTTGTTTGCATTCTACTTACAATAGTTGTCTGTTTATAGGCCTTCTCTAAATCAATGGATTTTATAGTTGACACAGCATCTGGTGACCACCCATTTGATCCATACATGTCAACTTTGAAGACTGCTGGAGTTTTTGTTCTAGTGGGGTTCCCAAGTGAAGTCAAATTCTCTCCCGCAAGTCTCAATCTGGGTAACTACTGCAACTTTTAGTCTTGAGGTCTTGTTAATTACAAAGAGAGGTTAAAGGCTTACTGTATGCTTATGGCAGGTATGAGAACCATATCTGGCAGCATTACAGGTGGTACGAAAGTGACACAAGAAATGCTGGACTTTTGTGCTGCTCATAAAATTTATCCCAAGATAGAAGTAATTCCTATCCAGTATGCAAATGAAGCTCTAGAAAGGTTGGTAAAGAAAGATGTTAAGTATCGATTTGTTATAGATATTGAGAACTCCTTGGAGTGACACTACGGAAGCAAAGAGAATATGTGACTCAAATAATTACTTAGAAGGGCCATCATATGGCAATAGATCTGGAACCCTTCTTTTGTATAAGAGAGGAAATAAGTTTAGATCTTGTATACATATAAGCTGCTGAAGTAATTACGCTGCCTGACTAAATCAGTGAAGAAAATATGGTAATAGAATAAATTTTACTATTGAATATTAGCGTCAAGAATTTGAATGGCAAGCAACTTGGCCAAGATTTTCACGAAATATATCATTAACTGGAATTGATGATAGCAATTTGTTTTATCAAATCAAAATGAAATTCACGGAAGCAGTTTGGACTGCTCTGCTATTAAGGGCTTGGTTGATTGTTTTGGATTCTGATACATGTGCCTTCGTTGTGTTGTGAAATTTCCAATCCTTTTAAAACGTTAGTTTAGTTTAGAGCAAATGGTACAAGATTTAATAGTTGGATTTTGAAATGGTGCCTCTTTCCCTTGTGGCCATAACAGCAACAGTGGATTACTATTAGGCAAATAATTTAGTGGGCAATTAACCCACTGAATCTGATGGGTTTCTGTTTGTGGTGGATCCCTTGTAATCCACTGACCCATGTGCATGAAATATTCAAATGTTCATTTTCGAACCTCCTCCAGTTCTGTGAAAACTCTAATCCGTTTGATGTCCTCCAACCTCCCCTTCCTCCGATAGTTTAGCTACAAAGGCTACCGAAATTACATAATTGACCTTCGTTCATCAGAATAAACGATTTAGATTACAGTAGTACACGATTAAAGTAGAATAGTGTAACATTGTAAACACTAAACATGTGACACCATGTTATTTTAAGACATCCTGTATGCTTCAGTTACGAGGAGGGAAGTGGCAGTCTTAAGTTTCCCTTCCATGTACTTATTTAAGATTTGCATGTCCATGACTAATCTCCACTGGTCTATCATTAGAAACAAAAGCATTTCCTTCCTCCGGCTGCAGGGCAGTAACATCATCTTGCCTTTTGCTCCAAATTACACAATAAAGGCCCAGTATGATAACTAGTGCTCCTATCAAGCTGGCAAATTAAAATTGCCCAAATGTGGAAACTCAGCAAGTGCTTACGTAGAACAATAAACGACACAGATTCAGAAACTGACCTCCCCACATGAAGTCTCTCTGCAAAAGCAACCGCCGAGAAAACTCCAACGATTATTAGGAGCAGTGGACTAAACATGGCTGCAAAAACTGGGCCCTTGTTGGTAATACACCATGTCTGTACGTAGTTGGTCAATGCTGAGATCACAACTCCCTAAACAACAGAGATGAGAAATCCAAATCATTAGACAGAGATCATATATATGTTAAGAAGAATAATAAGTGAAATATTGGGACTGACACAATATATGATGGTAAGGAGCTGCAAATTCCAGTCCAACTTCCAGAGGGAAGGATTTCGTCCAAAAAAGAGGGCAAGCAAAGAAGACTGAATCGATGCAAAAAAGCATATGAGAGTGGTGAGTGATAAGCAAGCCGGGTACTCTTTGTAAACCAGAGGCTGGAGAATTAGCCAAGCGCTCCATGCTACGTGGCTGCCGATGATGAGAGCAGATCCTTTGATCCAGTTTTCAGGAGAATGCTTTTGAATGCTATCCATCAGTATCAATGGCCGCTGCTCAAAGCTTTTATAAAGAAATCCTCCTCCTTTCCAGAAGGTGAAAATGAGAGATCCAGCCACGCAAAGAGTGGTGCCTAGTAACTTTGCCCATCCTGACCTACCGCTCTTAATGTTCACTTTCTCCATCCTTAACACAACCGCCATTAGGAACGTTAAACTTGGGATAACGTTACTCAGTGCGCTTGCAACCGTTGCAGAAGTATATGCTAATCCGGCATAGTACACGTTTAGATGGATGGTTGTACCTAATGATGCTAGCACAAAAATCTTGGTCATCACTGCTACTGAAATTGAAGGCCGCTGCTTCCTGCACCTTCTAATTAATTATTTGCAAGTTCGAAAAAATTATCAAAAAAAGATCTGATGAAACTACCTTTCAAGAACATAAGCAAACGGGCCCAACAAACTCATGGCAATCAAATGGCGATAAACCACAAAGACGAGTTGATTCAATCCCTTCTCAAGAGCAATTTTGATGAGGATGTTTGATCCTCCATAAGCTAATTGAATGAGAATCATTGCAGTGACTGGAGCCAATGTTTTCATGCTTGCAGTTGTTAGTTATCAAATGACTCGATTCACACTAACTAATTGTTTAAATAATAATATAGAACCTACTTTAGCCACTTCTTTTTCTCCTGTATTTCTATTTTTCAACGGATAGAGAGGATGACACATGCAAGGTTAGCTAATGGAGAATAGTAAAATAATATATCTTGTTATATACAAATAGAAATACTGCTGTACATCAATATGCCAACATGCTCAGTACTGTATATAGAAAAGCACTAATTAGACGAGTTTAGTTTTTAAATACAATGCTGCTAACCTAACTTTATTTAGACTTTGTTTGTGATCTTGAGATCTTGATTCACCTTCTGCCATATTCCACTACTTCTATATTGGAATGCGACATCACCTGATTGTTCATCCATTTTTAGAAATTGATCTTAATAACTAGTGAAAAAATCAGCACCCAGAGAGAAAAACGAGGAACTTTGTTTTTTTTTTTTTTTTGGCCTTTCTAGAAATGAAGTTTATGTTACTCAACTACTTGCACGAAATATTCAACTTTACTGCTTAAGAAATCAAAATAATATTGTATAAATCAAACAGTAATATTGTATAAATACACACCTCATTGATTTAGAGAAAATGCGACAACTATACATATGAATTGTAATTATGCGACTTTAGTAAGTGTTAAATTTATTACTACCATTTACAACTACTTTTAATAATCTAATCATCCATCTAGAATAATATACATTACAAAAGAAGACATGATTAATTTTAATAATGAAAAATTATCCACTATTTTTATTATTATGCAAAATGATAAAACATCAAAAGAAGGCAGCCTAAAGTTTCAGAAAAACCATGAAATCATTTTCATCTGCATCGAGAAATAAACCAACTAATCGTTTTGTCCAACCTCCTTTAGCTGCAAATTATGAAAGAAGTATACAAACACCCACAAAGAGAGGAGGGAAGCTTAGCGAACCAACGAGAAAAAAGAGCACATGATACACAGACACACCGCTCAAACTAATACTATACCACAATTTGATAAATCCTGTACAAATCTTCAAAATCAGCTCAGGAAAAAAAATAAAATAAAAAAAAAAATAACAAGCACACTTGCTTAACACAAGTCTTCCTCCAAACCAAATGATTATCAACAACCTCTGGCAGAAAGCCCAATCCAGTCAACTTCCTCCCCAAGACTGTACTTGCTGAAATGGTTGACCCTGAACTTCCACTCTCCTTTTACAGGGTCATACGATATAAATTCAGCACCTTGGTCCTCAGCCTTCCTCTTGAGCATCTCTTTGTATTTCTCAATTTTTGGCCCTTCTGTAAACTGACGCCCGGTCTTTTTGTCAAAGCATTTTATGTTTAGAAGTGTTACCTCAGCAGGCTTATTTAGACCTTGTCCAACAGGTGGTTTCTTGCTGTCATCTGTGTAAACAATCACCTCCCGATTATTAAACTGAACTAGAGATTCGAGATCAAGCCGCCTTACATCTGTCTCACCCAGGAACTTAATGCAGCCATAACCATGCCGCCCAACCACAAAGTCCTTAACATGGCGGCAGAACCCAGGTTCAGCCCTTTCCTTAGCTGCCAATTCTTGGATCCGTGGCTCTGTATAGTAGTCAGATCGCCGGAGTTTTGGCATTAGTGCCTCAATATCAGCCCCATGCTCATATACAATTGCAGCTTCACCTGCTCGGTGACCACTAAGCGTCATATATGACTCATCTTTCTGAGTCGAACTATCCTCGTGAACTCCATTAGGTTTCAGATTGAGCTTAACATGATGACCTCGCTCCTTACCAACTCCATCTTCAACCATATTCCCTGCAGACAAATTAAACACATTAACAGATACAAGTTCTTAGTTCAAATTGTCCAGATAAAGTTAGACTTGTAAATGAGAGAGGGAAATGTACTTCAATCACATCTCATCAAGACATATCTAAAATAAAGTTCTGATCCCTTCACTCGAAATTTTACCAACTCAAATCATGATTAAACTGCAGGGAGTACATATAACAGCAAACTATCGCAATAACAAAAACAAAGTCTTACTATCTTTACCACCAGAACCACTCGAGGAAGGAACATCCACAACTTCTGAAATTTTGCCTGAACAATTAAGATCAAAACAGTTGTATATTTCCTGACAGGAGAGAAAATGTTATAGACCTTCAGATAATATTCAATTGAAGTTTACCATTCCCGTATACTGGAGTAGATGTATCCTTCAATGGAGAAGTTTTTTCTGCACTAGCCCTCAATGGCCTCTGGTCCGTAGGACGAATGACCAGAGCTCTTGGGTTATCCCGAGGAATGAAGAGAGCATCTGCCTTTGGTGTGCCAGTTGTTTCTTCTTCATCACTGAAAAAGGGAACCTGAATGTATAGTAATGAAACAAAAGTTAGAGTGCCTACCCTTGAACAAGCTCGCTCTCAAACAAGTTCTAGTGAAAGCAATGAAGAACAATTTTGAGTAAACATCTCACCTTTGCACCATCAGGCTTAGGATTATATTTCCTAGCAGGTAACCTAATCCGCCTTTGTGACAGGTGCCTAGACATCAACAAGGATGATATTCTAACAGGAGCAGGCCTGTCAACAACCTGAAAGAGAACAATGCCACAGGCTATAAAATTTGTGTGCTAATTGTTGTAGACAGACATCAAAGCCTATGCATACAAGAACCTAGCAACAACATCACGGACTTAGCCTTTGAGACAAATGAATTCATAGAACTTTATAAGGAACTTATTAACAATTTCAAAATTTCACTCCACGGAGATCACTACAATCCAACAATTATAATACTACATCAACCCTCACCAAAGCCCAAACATATGGGCTGCTTCGTGTACTGGATCACCCTTTTTTATGATGCAATTTACAAATAAATGGTGCACTGCTAAAATTACAAAATGATTGATAATGCAATATCCCCACACAAATTAATTTAGTGTTCCCTCTCTCTCTCTCTCACACACACACACACATACACATACAAATAGAATCTATTGAAATTAAAGGCCAAACAGAAAAAAAACTACTTGCACTTGACTTTCTTGACAGAACTAATTTGCGAATTAATTCTCCTTCAATTGGTTCCAAACATAGTGTAAACTAATTTTACCAGAATCAAGACAACACCACCATAACTCCGTAGAATAGAAATAGACATACAAAGTTCATGACAAAAGATACTTACAGGCATGCTGGAAATCCCATATTGCACAGAAGGTGCAGTCCCAGCTCGACCAATAGACATTTGAGGCATTGCAGGGAGTGTCCCAAACGGATTTGCAACAGTCACAGGCTGTAAAGCAACAGAACTCTGCGGGGTAGATCTGCCAAACAGAAATGTGCTTACATGAATCATAAATTGATGTATTCAGCACTAAGAAGAATTTAAATCTAAATCCGATTCACTCTTCCATCGAAGTAACGGAGAGATAACAACATGAATAATGAATACACATACTAACACAAGCAGAAAGACAATAAAGATTATCAGAAATAATGATGATCAATCATGCTACTAGCATACATGATATGCACGAACTGGAAGCACGGATGACAATAAAACTAGCTGGTTAATATAAGACATACAATGCTCCAAAAGTGCTCTGACCAAACATGCTTGATGAACCGGCAACACCCACTGGAGCAACTGTGAAGGCAGTGTAAGTAAAAGTTAGCACAATCAAATAAAAATCTGGAGAATTACATCGGTGCAAACAAGAGCATAGAAGGAAAAAGAAGAAACCTGCTTGTGTCTGCCCTAAATTGCTGAAATTAAGAACACCTATGGCCTGAGATGTTTGAGGCAGTTGAAAAGGTGAAGACTGAGGCAACTGTAAGTAAAGAAACTATTAGCAATCAAATAAAAATATTAACATATAGATAATTAAATTACTTAATGTAGACCCAGGAACTTATAATACATGTCCCTAAGGACTCATGCATGCACACAACCTAGCTGTGTGAACAACATTACTAAAATGAATATCAGATATATAATTGCAGTATACCTACCAAAATATAATGCTTGGCTAGCTGAGAAGATGTGCAAGGGAAAAAAATAAAAGGATATTAAAAGTTACTTACAGCTGTGTGACTAAACATCCCTTGGTTAGCTGACGTTATCAAAGACGGATTGCTTGAGAATGAAAAAACAGTGGAGGGAGTATTGAATATGCTTGACTGTGTAAAAGAGGGGGTGGTACTTGGCGCAAATGAAGCAGTAACCTGTCCAAATGCAGAACCTGTCTGCGAAAAAGATGGTGTGGTGGACGGGAATGAAAGCGATGGCTGAGTGTTAGCAAAATTTCCAAATGGTGAAGAAGTTGTTTGCCCTGTGCTAGAGTTGAACAAGGATGATCCTGAACCAAACGAGGGTGAAGTAGAGGGGCCAAAAATGGATGAAGCTGTGTTGCCTCCAAATCCAGTAGATGATGTTGATGCAAAAGCCGAGGCCGACTGGAAAGGATTAGATGAAGGTGAAGCAGTAAAAGGTGCAGGACTGAATGTAGGCGTGCTTCCAGTTCCAAAAGGTTTTGTAGCAAATGGATTGGAGGAAATAGACGAAGAAAAGGGACTAGCAGATGACTGGTTAAATGCATTGGAGTTAGCAAAAGGATTTGGTGGTGCATTGGACACATTAAAGTTAATCCCACCAGAAGATTGACCAGGAGTAAGTGGCCCACCTGCATTTGGAAATAACAAAATAAGGAGAAACAAATATCATTATTATTAGCAGTAACTGCGAAAAAAGGAACCTCAGAATTTACATTGTATTTACTAATGACTACCTTTATCTCCCAATTGATAATCTTCCCATCTTAGTTCCTCATGGCTTTTATCTTTGTACATAGCCATGGCTGATATAGATTCTAGCTTTCCAGCCTGCTGTCCAGTACCACTGTCAGCATCAGCTGTTGCGGAGTAAGGCACTACTCTACTTCCCCCACGATTTCCCGCAAAAGATGACTGCCCAAATGCCGGTGTTGTAGCCTGGCTTACTACATAAAAGCACATAAAACCAAATTAGTAAACAGATAAGAGATCATAAGGAAGAAGAAAAAGAAAAAAGGAATCGTCAAACAATAGCTGCAAAAAAATTAATTCTTCAAAACCAAGTATTTTTATGATATAATTAGGTATGAATCTTAAACCACTCACCAAATGGAGAACTTTGGGAACTAAAAGGAGAAACATTAGCAGTTCCAAATGGACTGCTCCCAAAGGCAGAAGTAGATTGGCCAATAGTAGACCCAAAGCTAAAGGATGGGGCACTTGAAGCCCCAAAGGCAGGGGTACTCCCAAAAGAAGGAGTAGTTGACGTTCCAAAGGGAGAAGGAGTACTAGAAGTCCCAAAGGTTGTATTGGAAACACTAAACCCAGATGTGGTCGAAGTACCAAAAGCAGGTGTGTTTGAAGTTGCAAAGCCACCCGCAGATCCAAATACTGGGGTACTAGAGACACCAAATCCACTTCCAGTACCAAACCCTGGGCTAGCCGTTGTGCCAAAAGCTGAGGCACTTGCGGGGGCAAAAGATGAAGCAGTTCCAGGACCAAAGCCCAGAGTACTGTTTGTACCAAACGCAGGAGTGCTGCTAGCACCGAAGGCAGAGGTGGTTGATGAAGCAAATGCAGGGCTACTCGTAGCACTGAACGGAGACTGTGTTGATGTGCCACCAAAAGGTGTGGTAGAACCGAATAGGCCACTCCCAAATGCAGGCTGTGACTGCTGATTTGTACTCCCAAATGGACTCGTTTGGGTAGTGGAACTAAATCCTCCAAAAGAGGGCTTTTGGCCGAATAGAGAAGATCCTACAGAAAGGACACAGGAGTAAATTGATAAGGATAATTGTCAGTTTAAAAGAGCATGAGCAGAAAAATCAAATAAAGTACACTTTTAGACAATATACGCAAAAATCCATGGAGGACAGAATCTACAAATAAATAGCGCACTCAGTGAAGATAAGCGACCGGAATGAGGAAAGTAAAGGCATAAAATACTGCCTTCGAGTTGATTTCATATATTTGAGTGCATGTGTATGTGTATTAGACTCAGAGAATTACAGTAGCAAAATGTGTATATATGTATATATATTCAAATAATGAGTATAAAAGTACCATCTTAAACACTAAAATTATCATCCTAAAATTATGGAGAAAAATGCAAAAAAGATCTAAAGCAGAACTACGATATCTACAACCTAAAAGGAGAATCATAGTTTCATTAAAAACTGAATCTCCTACAACAAGTTCTTATTTTTCATAGCAGTTTGTAAAACGGGCCTCCAAATAGATGTCAATTGAATTTAAGCAAGAGCATTCATACAAAAAAAAAAATCAGCTTCCAGATAAAACTTGGTGTATAATTTAATTGCCCAGAAAGACAATACCATGCATGTAAGCATCATGCAATAAATACAATGAAGAAGTATCCGATATTCCACCAACACAGATCTGAGCTGTTATAAGTTTCAAATCAAAAGATAGCCAAAACAGTGATTACAGCAACACTTAATACACATGGACAGTACTACAGGAAAATCATATTTATTTAGCATTAAATCATAGCCAAAGGGTAGAAAAGGAGAAACTTATTCATTTTATATAGAATTAACATCTTTCAAGCACACTTACCACCAAATGAAGGTGAGGAACTGCCAAAAGTAGAAGTTGAAGAAGCTCCAAATGAGGACATGGTGCCACCAAAAGCTGCTGAAGATGAAGAACCAAAAGCTGGTGTAGAAGAGAAAGGTGAGGAAGTTTGGGGTGTACCAAACATGCCAGTTGAAGTCCCGCCAAATATAGAACCCCCTGTTTGCGAACCAAAAGGAGTTGTACTACCAAAGGGTCTGGGAGCAAAAGGATTACTGTTTGCATTACTTGTTTGACCAAAGACTGATTGAGATGCAAAAGGGCTACTTGATGACTGCCCAAAAGCTGTAAAAATGAATTTCAAATTATCAGAATGTTTATCAAATTGAGAAATGGATATGAACACTTAACCAATAACTATAACTCCCAATGGGGAATGTGCATGCAGCAGCAAATCATTAGCACAAGACAGAAAAAAGCCTAAATAAAAATTAAGTCGAAACAGACACTGTTACAAAAGACGTAAATTTATACTATTTTTAGAATGAAACAAACATAAACCAAGCAATTAATAATGGTCAATGAGGCATTTTCAAATGATATTAATCCAGAAGCCTCATTCTAACTATGACAAAGTTGTGCGAATAGGAAATATGCATTTATATGAAAGCTTGTTCAGAATCCATTAGATTATAGATAAACAACAAAATTTCAAAAAGTCAAGTTCACTGAATTAAAAGGTAAGCATAAGATGATGATGTGCAATTAGGGCAAACATCAGACAAATACAAGCGAAATGCTAGTTTAATTAGGATGATCAATAAAATCGTGTTTTTAATGGTACCACTAGTAGAGCCGAACATCCTGCCTTCCAGAAAACCAGTAGCTAGTTCTCAATCCTGCACTGAAATGAAAACAGAGATCAGAAAATACATATAATTGCAATACCCCAAACTCACTTCTATATTTTGATGAAACTAATTTAATCTGAAATGTGCAAGCAACAAGTGAATCAAAGTAACTAGTAAGAGAGGAAGGTTATATGCGGGTAGATTGGCATTCATTACAGAGAGCTAAAAACAGCTGATGCTAAATTTTAGGATCTTAAATATTGTATAGTGCGAAAAATCTATCGCATGAATCAAACTCGAGAATGATGGTTAAGCAAAATAGTAATGATTTCTAGTAGAAACAATGCCATCGCCAATAGAAGGAACGAGATACGAATAGTCCACAGCAATAGAGCAAACCATTACAAAACATAGCCAGATTAAAAATGAAATTTGAAGCAGAAAGAAAACATAAAACAAGTATAATAAAGAACAAAAAATGCTTAGGGTTTTATTTAGTACCTGGAACGATGAATGTAGGAATTAGGGCTTTCAGCTAATCAGACTTGGATCTGAATCATTAAAAAATTGCAAAAGGAATGGAAGGGAGAGTGTTTGTGAATGTGGAAAGATGATAGAGAGAAAAGGGGGAACGGGAACGGTCCGTCACTGGTTCCCTCACTCACAGAATCGAGGAGTTAAACGAAATAACATTTATAGGAGGAGTGAAAGGTCTTTTATAGGTAGCCCATGAACGAGTCGCGTAGCGTTGATTTTAAGTCCTGAGGTTGGTTTTTCCGTAATTTCCTTAAATAGGTTACGGGTGCAGCGAAGAGCCGATGAAGGGTTAGCCGGGTAGCGTTATTTTTAAGTCCGCATGTTGGTTTTTCCGTAAATTCGTTATGACGCTTGCCCTTCCTCCGGACACATCTCAATCTCAAGGCGGCTAACTTTGCGGTTTCCTTTTTTCTAATTTTCCTGTAACTGCGGTTAGTTAATTTAATCCCCCCTCTTATTAGGCTCAAACATATACTTGTGGCCCATTTCCCGTCTTTTTAACCCAAAAAATAAAAATGCCACACCAACTTTTTTTTTTTTTCTTTTTCACAAAGCAAATTCAGTATATTCCAACGCGTTTTTAATATAAAATTACAATGATTACTTTATAGTTATATTGCTTTTGCAAATTTTGTTTACTATATTATGTTTTCTTCTAATCGAAATATCAAAATTTTTAATAGATATTAAGAGCTTATTCGTATATATTATTAAGATTGACTTAATTATAAACTCAATTAAAAATCTTAATATTTAGAAAAAAATACAAATATCTTACTTAATTAAGATTCTAACTTTAAGCACTTTATATTTAGAGCCTCTCATTCTTATGCTTGTTTTCAAAATTGAAATTTCATCTCTAATTATTTATTATTCTTTTATTCTAATGGTTAATCCAATAATTGTTTTTCTTTCAAAACAAATCGGAACTTTTAAACATTAATCGAGTGAGATGCAAATCATTTATTTAAGCCATATCCTCTATATTTTCTGATAATTTATCATGGATTTATACAACTATTTGATTTCATCACGTTAATCGCAATTATGTTTATTATATTTTTCAGGTTTTTATATCCATGGAACCATAAATTAAAGTAACAAAATAAGAACAATCTTCAAGGTCACAACAATTAATTATTATAATCTGTATTTGTATTTTGTACATTTTTTAAAACATATTTTGATTTAGTTGATTTTTAATTAGAATTTAGTTTTTATTAATTGGTCTTGAATAGTTTGTCCAATTTTTTAAGTGATTAAATTACTATATTTTGTATGCATTTATATATATTTTTTTGAAATAAACAAATTTATTTTAATTATTTTTAATAATATTTGAATCAAACAAAATAAATATAAATATTTTTACTAAATTCATAATAATTGCAAATATTACAAGTTTAAAGCACACGGGAATTTGTGATATGTCTAGAATATGCAATTAAAAACTTTAATCTTACATGTGGTATAATTAACTTCTTACCTTTATGGGACTTACGGTTGTCTAACACCCACACAACACTTTATTACCAATTGTTAAATGTCAAATGATAAATTATCAATTGCAGCATATTGTAAAATGTTCCGCTCAGCGAAATTTTAGCTGGTTACATGACATTAAATTACTAATAAATCCTATGATAAATATGATTTGTATTTTGTTGCATGAAAAATGTTCAAGTACTGTAAATAATTATAACGCACACATGGCACATTCTATATATGTATATATATTGAGTCACCAAATAACATGGTTTTTGATGTGATTTTATTCCTCGCTCGAAAATACTCAAAATGCCAAACTAAATAATTTATAACATGCAATCTTAACTTGAAGCCAGAATTGTAATTAATTTGAATACTGAGTATAAGGTATGGGCAGTGATTGAGCCACAATGCACCCGTAGCATGTCAATCGGAATGGTCGGTTTGTTGGTCAGATTTGAAGGCCTCCTTTTCCTTTCTCCTTGCCTTCCTTGCATGCTTAGTATCTAGTCTATGTGCATGGTGTTCAAAAATGTCAGAGATGTCCAAATGTACACCAGGGTCATTGGTGTTGTAGGAGCCACCAATCATGATGGAGTTGTTGACTGCTTGGAAATTGCTGTTAACATAGGTTCCTAGTGCTTCAGGGTCATCGCCGGAAAACCCTTGGGGATTATAATCGGGTTTATCATCCAACTCGCTTCGCATTGTGGCTCCAGTGTTTGTTCCAGCAAGCGTGATGATTCTGACGTCATGCTCGTCATCCTCGCCCTGCAGGCGGTGGTGGGATGCACCTGACTTTTGCAGATCACTAACACGAGATGTAATTGCATTCACCATGTCTCTGACTTCGCGATCAAGTGCTTTATACTTGTCTTCGTCGTCGGAGGAGGAAGAGTGGGTTGGCTTTGCTGTTTCAGGAGCCATGTTTTTCCTTCTATTTTCGTTTTGGGAGGTAGAGAGAGTAGAGACTATATTTAAGGGGGAGGAAATGCAATTGGAGCAATCAAAGCAATTAAAGGGAAGGGAATAACTTGGGAGAATGAAAAAGATTAAAGCATTACTTGGCAAAGAGTTCATCGATTTTGTTCTTTTGTGAGTAGGACTCTTGTCCTTAGTTCCAATAAACAAGGAATCACTTGGCATCTTTAAGATCTTATCATCACTTCATATCTGAGGTAATAGAATGGAAAATAACACCATCTGTGTCATCTTCTTTGACACAAAAGGCCAACGATACTAAAGATGGACACCAAAAGTGGCCAAAGAGGCCGACGTCGTTCTCGTTCTCGTTCTCGTTCATGCTGTAGGCTTCAAAATTTCATACTTATTTCTGAAAAATAAAAACAGCACTTATTCATTACCAACATAAGAATTTATGTATAGTAATTAATTAATTTTATTATTAATATATTAGTAGTTTGCAAAAAGTTAAAAGTTCAATTCTCATCAAAATTTGAATATTCCATATTATTAAGTTTTTCTTTTTTATTTTACTATAGGCCACATTCATTCAGTCTTATTTCACAGCTTTGGAAAGCAAAATCATTATATTTTATTTATCCTGTTCCTTTTAAATTCGTAAATTTTATTTTCTAATCATGTAAATTTTTTTTTGAATTCTATAAATTTTATAGAATTCATAGGTTTTAGTTTTACATTTTATTAATAGCATATTACTGTTACTGTTACTATTTTTATTTTTATTTTTATATATGTTGACTAATGATATGAAGCAATGAAATTAAGTTAGAAAAACAAATAAAAGAATTAAAATAAATTAAAGTTAGCAAATAGGATAAATGATTAGAATAAGTTTACAAAAGTTAAATTATTAGTTAAATGTTTTACGGTGTCACGCCCGACTCTAATCACCAGAGGAATTGTCCGTTTTGTCCGTTTTGGATCAAGCCAAATCGCCCATACAAGATGGCAAGACCCGCACGGTTTTGTCCCGCAGGTGAAATGAGAAACTTCTCAAGAGGTCATCCATCCTGAGATTTCTATTAAGCGAGCACGCTTAACCCTGAAGTTCTTTTAACTCTCCAGCCACTCCACCAAAAGGCACATCTAATGATTAGTTTCCCCTTTTTCGATATATGATTCAATTCATTCCCGTATCCCGCATTCCACTACCCTAGCTAGTCTGTCATCCTAGAAGCTATCCAGGAGCTTCGCTCTACCTGTCCTCTTAAGATCGCTTTGCCGAGTCGGGATGTCACATACGGATCCCGAGAAGTCCCTTGTCAGTCAACCAGAAGGTAGAGAGGAGAAAAGCTTCTAACATAAAATAAAACTGTAAGTAGTGTTAAATAACTAGTATTATCCAAACACATATACTCGTGCACACACAGGTAATGCTAAGCATGCGCACACGGATAACTATTATGCATTCATGCATGATAGATAAATGTCATTTAGGTACAAATGCATTATTTAATAATTTATTATATGTGTTGCATTATATGTTGTTTATGAGTTTGACTGATTAGTTGTGGTTTATTGTATATGTCTTGTTTGTGTGGAATTGGGATGAAGTAGATCACCGTTGAGTTTGTAAGGGTGGTCTATAATACTGTTGGATTTATGGGAGATTGGCCCTCCGTGTGTATCTAATGGATTTTGATATGAATTTATAAACAAACCACAGGGTGACCTCTTGTTGGTATGAAAAAGAAAAGAAAGTATAAAAAAATAAAGAGGGCTGGTCAAGTGGGTTGAGACTGGTCGACCATATAAAGGGAATCGGCTCGCTGATGCATATGTTATGAGAGGGCGAGCCGTGTGTGAAGACGGCTCGTTGGACATTTTGGTGACGCCTGACCAATTTCTAGTTGATGTGATTATATGAATGTATTATTATTTGTGATTGTTGTTGCTAGCCATTTGTGTGAATGACTGAATTATCATATCATTAGTCGGAAGACTATATTGATTTATATACGCATTTCTATAATTATATGGAATGAGAGATTTATTTAATCTTACTCATTGAATTTAGGCGCTCACCTTTACCTTAAAAACTTTTCAAGGTTAAAGGAAGTTGAGAAATCCTTTTGAAGGCAACTTAGTTAGGCATCGGAACGGTGAAACCTTTTAGTTAATTACAAGGTCTTTAGAAATGTATTGTAATTATAGAGTAAATGGAATACTATTTGTATACATATTTTATTTATTTATGATTAATCTATATAAATATTGGATAGGTTCCAGGATTCATGTGAACTGTCATTTAATGAATTGGGCCTAAGTTGTGTATATATACAGAACAATGAATCTAGTCTATCGAGGCTTATTATAGGTTTTGGAAGCCTTATGCCAATTCAGATTTTAGTGTCGATCCGCCCATGGTGTTGGATCGTGACACCGGTATAGACTTTCATTTCATTTTTTCTCTTTTTCATGCGCAATGGAGTGAAGTTCTCCCCTTTCTCAGTCTTGTTTTTGTTTGTTGTATTGAAATTTCATCTGGGCATTGGCTGTTTTCGGTTTTCACCAGTTTAATAGGTCATTTGGATTCGACAAATGCATTCCTAGTCTGATTGAACTTAATATTTTTAAAAAAATTTGATGCCTTTAGACATAACTCAATGGCTTTTCAAGAATTTCACTTTTTTCTAGGGTTCTGGACTCAATGAATTGTTTTTATTAGACTTGCCATTTGTTTGGGACCAGATGCAGAATAATGGCTCGAATAAAGAAGCAGGTAGTGACCAGTGTGTTAATTTGTCCTTGGTTGAGCTCGACCTCGAGAAGCAGGACGACCCCGAGTTGTTACAGCAAGAGGCCAGTGGCGGTGTCTTAATAGGGGATTCTACTCTTTGTGCTAATTCCACTATTCTAACCGTTCTGGTACCTAATGCTGAGTCTCATGCGATTCACGTGGACCCTGCTAAGGAGGAATTGCCCAGTGTGGAGTCTCCAAAAAAGGGATACTTGTCGAGGACTGCAAGCTCTCACGAGCAGTGCAGGTATGCCTCTCGTACTTCTGATAGATCTTGCTTTTTAAGGAACTGCATTCCTCATTCCTTACTTTGCTCGTTTGCTCTGACATGACGAAAGATGCACCTTGTCTATCACGGACTTGTAAAATTTGTCTTTTGCTTGATATTTTTCCATCATATATTATATGCGTTAGTTTCTTTAATTAAGAGTGCCATATGTTAAGTCTTTCATTATTTGATAAGAAGTCTACAGCTCTTCTATAGGCAATGAAGCAAAACAGAACCTTGATAAAGGCACCACCAAAGGTTTAACAGTTGGAATAACCTAGAGTACTTCATATGCTATTCTTACAGAGTTTGTCAGCAGGAGAAGGAAGAAGTTCTCATAGAACTAGGATGCAAATGCAAAGGCGGTCTTGCAAAAGCCCACTGGTCATGTATAGACACTTGGTTTCGTACAAGAGGATCAAACAAATGTGAGATATGCCAGTAAGTCATTTGCCATGTGTATTCATGCTTTGAAATAGATATGGCCTTGAAGAATGTCTTAATTTGTGTCATTTATTTATTTATTTGCAGAGAGGTAGCTGCAAATGTGTCACATCCAGAATCTCAGCCAAGCGTAGGTATTTTTTTACCAGGTGTCCCATAGATTATAAGGCCTCAATAATTTGATCTTGTCTAAATTGGATAAAATATTTAAGCTTGAGGGTTTTGGGATGTGATGCTAGCCATATCTCTTTGTGAATCTGCCTTAGATTAGATGGCTTGTAACATGGGCTTGCAAAATCATGTCACAGTAGTGCTGGGTGTCAAGCTAAGAGGCGTGTTCTTAAAAACTGGGAAAAGAAAAACTGGGAAAAGGAAATTATAGCGTGTGAAAGCTTTCTGTATAGAAATTGGCACATTCCTGAGCCATTTTCCACCCTGGCTTTTGTTAATGCACGAGCATTACTTGATGGCCATAAATTTGTGAAAAACTAAAGCCAAGTTGTAGGATGAATTTATTGTTGGGTGTGGATAAATTATTGCATTCTGAGTTTTTTTCCTTTGTGTTTTATGGGCCAGACAAACTACTGGGTGTGGAGGGTTGACCCAAACTTTAGAACACGGGATCCTGAAAGGGTAAGGAGGTTATGTATGCTTATGCTTATGTGTTTGACGAATAAAATATTCAATGTGATGTTTTCCTTCATTTTCGATGTAGGGTTGTTTTAGTCCACTTTGGGTAGCGTTCTCAATTCTTATTGGCGGTCTGTTATTGGATCTGCTGATATCCATTACCCTTGGGGTTTCTGCCCTGCCTGTTAACATCATAATTGGTAATCGAACTTCTTAGTCTTTTTGAAATACAAATCCTCTTATTACTAAATGGAGAATATGCTTGATAATATTGAACTAAGAGGCTTTCTGCAGGTGTTATTGTGGTGCTTGGACTTGGAACTGCGCTTCGGCTAGCCCTGGAATTCTGCCATGAATGGAGTTTCAGAAGAGTAGTTCAAAGGTTGGATGCTAATGTGAATCTTGGTTACCATCCTGCTTTGTAGGTAAATCTGTATAGATCTCTTAACTTACTGTTCATTGTATATAAGCATTCAGCTTGCAGTTTTATTTTGTTTGTGGGGTTCATTGCTGCTTTAGCATATTCAGTTTTGGTATACCCATGTTGTTAGGGAACTTCATTTTCCTTTCAAAGAATTCAAAATTCATTCAGTTGAATTTAAAATGGCTCGAAGTTAGCTGTCTTATGATATTCAGGTATATGCCCTGGGTTTGGACAGTTATTTGGTTATAAATAATCCTAAACGTGTTTGTCTGCTGTTTCAAATTTTGGTTTGCTCTACTACATCCATATTGTGATGGATATTTTGTCATGTTGGTTACTGATTCAAAGACGTTATGCATAATGCATTAGTATACTTCTTGGTTAAGGCCTGCAAGACGGGTGGTTTGGTTCTTGGACCAATTGGTGAATTTTTAGATAATATGGAAATAGTTTGGTCTTTTGTGTTTTCAAATCTTTTACAAGTAGTGACAGCTGAAAATCATAGACATTTGAAGTAGTAGAGGCGTCTAGAATGAATTGCACTGTTGCCAGAACTATGGCAGCTGCATCTGCAACTCGCACATATATGGACGTTTAAACCATTTCCAAGCTGTCTTTGTACAAGATTAGTAATTACTAATGAGCAATTTGTAGGGGATGGGCATGTGCCAGCGAGCAGAGCAGAATTTCATGATGGCTACACCTGGTCTAGTTGTGTCTTGTGTGGAATAAGAAAGTTTATGGAAATCTGACATTTTCTGGTTGTTTCGAGTTATTAGATGCTCAAGCTTTCAACTAAAGAATACTATTGTTCTCATTTCTACATTGCAGAACTTTTTTACTATTCTCAATCTTTCACCAAGCACATTTGCTTATCATCTATACCATATTGAAGAACGCTTATTAATTTCCTGGTTTTGCAATGCCTTGTCAATTTTTTGGAGTCTTTGAAAGATCGTGTTCTTTCTTGATTCATTATGTGCTTGGTTTTCCATGGTAATAAGTGTTAGAAGCTGAAGATGGCAATGGAAGAGGAGATGCGAACTACTATAGAAGTACAAGTGTTAGAAGCTGAAGATGGCACTGAAAAAGGAGATGCAAACTATTAGAGTAGTCTAGTGCTCTATAGGACTGCGCATAAACCTGGAAAGGGAGGAAAAGGTGGAGAGTTGAGAGAGATGCAAGATGCTTCGTTGGGCTAGAAATTTATAGGGATACCTGTACATTATTATCTCAATAAAATAACTTATTTATTTTAAATCATTTTAAAAATCAAATCAAAGCTTATTATTTTGGTAATTAGAAAAATTTGTAAAACTTTATTTATATTTTGGTTTTGAAATTCTTTCATATTGTGTTAGACCAAATGCATCTTAATCAATGATAACCGCTATTAGTAGTTGGCGACGGCTACAATTTTAATTTTTTATGAATTTTTTTGTATACTTTTAATTTAAAATATTTTTAAAATCTTGTAGTTGTATGTGAAAATTTGTAATAAATTTCTATTTTAATATTTCATTCAAGCAGCAAAAAATACATATTTTTAAGAAAAAAAAATTCCTTGAGTCTGAAAATGTTTTTTAAAAAATATTTTTCTTTCAAAAATAAAAATATCCTTGTTGCAGGATTAAATTTCGGTTAGGGGGAAGAGTTTTCGGAAAAAACATTCAGACTCAAGAAAGTTTTAATTTATTTTTCTTTCAAAAATAAAGGAAATACTTATTTCAAAAATGAACAAGGTACGTGGGAAAATGGAAACCGTATAAAATCATTTGTTTTCCATCGAAGATCGTGTGTTCACACTTGTGGGAACAATACATAGTATGTAAGAAGAAAACGAAGATCCAGAGTTAGCCAGCTCGGCGTATGACCATTGCGAGGTCCCGTGGCCCACATTTAACCCGGTTATCACTTACCAAACATCAAGAAAAGAAATTATCCTAGGCGGTCATTCCCTTTCTGCCAATCAGATGTCACCACTACATGATATTTTGTCGTCGTGTCGTAAACCTATAGGCTGAAAATAAATTAGTCACTGAAAAGGAGTGCATGGGTATATGATTGAAAGTTAAGGTCTAAAAGACCGCGAAGGTAAGGAAAGGGAAGGAGGAGAGCTTTAAAAGCGAAAGCCGACAGGTAAGCGTGTGTTCTTCTTCGTACAACAAAAATCTAAATTGCTTCTCTCGATCCATTTTCACTTAGCTGTGACTACTGAGAACATTTGAATCAGGAAAACGGTAAATGGCTGTTCTGTCCATGGAGTCACTGCCGCTGGGGTTTAGATTCAGGCCGACCGATGAAGAGCTCGTAAACCATTACCTGAGGCTCAAAATCAACGGCCGCAATTCTGAGGTCGAGGTCATTCCCGAAGTCGATATTTGCAAATGGGAGCCCTGGGATTTGCCTGGTTCGAATTTCATGCTACTTGCTGTTTTAATAATTATAATTTTTCTATTAATTATTTTTTATATAAAACTGAAAAGAAAGGATAAATAATTTCTTTTCCTACCTGAATCTTCGATCAATTTCCTTTCCTTTCCTTTCCTTTATTCCTCATGAATAATTCTTCTTCTTCTTCTTATTTTTTACATCTGTCGGTTTCCTTAATCTGCAAGATTCCTCTCTAATTTGACTAATTTTGAACTTTAGGGTTTGTGTATTACTAGTATCATTGACTAATTTGAACTTTAGGGTTGGTAGTATAATCTCTAATGCTAGCTTTATTTGGGATTAGAGCTATCGGTAATAAAGACGGATGATCCTGAATGGTTCTTCTTCTGCCCGCGTGACCGGAAGTATCCCAACGGTCAACGGTCTAACAGAGCGACGGATGCTGGCTACTGGAAAGCAACAGGCAAGGATCGCACCATCAAATCTCGAAAGTCAGGCTCCAATCCTATCTCAATTGGCATGAAGAAGACCTTAGTTTTCTATCGAGGCCGTGCTCCAAAGGGCGAGCGCACCAACTGGATTATGCACGAGTACCGCCCTACTCTTAAAGATCTTGATGGCTCTGCCCCTGGCCAGGTTCTCCTCTACTTCTTTGCTCCAAAGTATACTGTCAAATTGGTTGCAGAGCATGCCTACCTTACATTCTTTTCAGCACATAGCTATGTTGTGTCTATATTTTGCTATTGTGTTTCTTTGCACTATGTTTCTCATCTGATCTCACATTCGTAGTTTGGGTGTTGCTCTCTGTTGAGTAGAGTAGTATGGTGGTTGGTGCTCTTAGAGTTTCTCAAGTGTTTACTGTTGATCTCCATCTAGACATTTTTAAAGTGTCATTCTCGTCTATTTATTACTCTTCAACAACAATGTTATGTAACTTTATCAAAAAATTTGCTGAGAGAGGGCTAGATATGGCGTTGCTAACAAATTATATACCAGTACATTGAAGTAGATGAGGTTATTGTGTTTTTCTTTCCAAAAAAAGAAAAAGAAATCAATTTCTAATTTTACCTCATGGTCTTGATGCTTCTATATATTTATAACTGTTTACGTTATATACTATACATATATTTATCTAATGCAATGCTGTTAATACGTTCAACTCATTCAGTTCCTCACTTCACCTGGTACAGAGTGCTTTTGTCCTATTTCGCTTGTTTCGAAAGCCAGAAGAAAAGACCGATACTGTAAAATATGATGAAGTAGAGCAAACTGGATATTCCCCTACCACTTCTAAGTCCTCCCCTGATGACACATCATCAGATTTAGTTCAAGAAACAGCAACATCTGCTGTGCAGGTAGGCAAACAATCTGAAGGCATAGCTAAGTGGCTGATAGATGAAGCAGACAACATGACCCCTAGTGTGGCAGCACCTGTTGATAGCAGCTGCAATAGTCATTCAGATGTTGAAGATCATGCAGCAGAAGCAATAGATATGGTGGTGAGAACTGGATTATTGTGTTTTTGGCATTTTTTGTTTTCCACCTTATACAAGATAATCATAATGAAAATACTTGGTGTTCTGAGAGTGCATCTTTTTTAATTGTTCTTTCCCCACCTTTTATTTTAGGTACATCCACCATCTGAGGAAAATTCTCATAGATATGAACCCACATCTGGTGATATTGATTGCAAAGTGTTCTCCCCAGTGCAATCACACATTCATGCAGACCTACCGTATTACATGGATTCCCCGTATGCTTGTGACTTTGGCAATGATCAGAATGGCTTCCGTTTTCAGGATGGTGCTAGTGAACCTGATGTCTCCTTAACAGAGTTGTTGGGTGAGGTATTCAACAACAATGATGACTGTTCTGGTGAAGAATTGACCAATCAACAGAACCCAGCTATTGGAAGCAACACTCATTTGGCTAGTCATATGCTGCTAGGAAACTTTCATGTTAAGGATAATGGTGTATATAATGAACCTGACACAGATCATTTTCAAGTCCTGGTAATGATACAGTCTTTTGATGGTTTTTTTAAGTACTATGCTTACCTACTGGTTCTTGTTCAGCTTGTGTGGCTTTTAGAAAGTTGAATTACATGATTGTTCGTAATTTTACTTTTGTTGTATGGTAATTTAAGGTACTTAACACAGTTGATTTGATCAGCTATTCAACACAAATTCACAGTCTTAAACCAATTTAGTTCATTTGATAGCTATTGAAGAAAATTTAATACATTTGAAACTGAACTAGTTTTATTGTCCATCTACTGTTCTACTCTAGAATAAAAAAGAAATGGGAACCTCATTATGTTTTTATAACAAGGAGCTGTTACAGATGCAATCTTCATTTGGACCTTGGGGAGCTCAGGCATCATCCTTCGACGGAGAACTTGGAGGGAGGAATATTTGTGGCCTTGGAAATAACTCTATTGTGCAAGATGCTCCATCCGCTTTTGGAGCATTAAATAGTATGGAAGAATCAAGCAGCTTAATGAATCCTGTATATCCTGGCAGTGCTGTCACTGGAACAGGAATCAAGATCAGAACCCGCCAGCCTCAGATGCGTCCATATGCAGATAGCTTTGCTGCTCAGGGTACTGCTCCAAGAAGACTCCGTTTGAAGATGGAATATTCTACTGGTTCTTGTGGAAACATGGTGGAGAGAGATGCAAGTCACGAAGAAGATGAAGAAGTAGAATCAGCTATAACTGAGGTAAGTGTCATCAAGTGCTACAATGTGAAACCTCCTTTGAGATTTATATTCTTCAATTTCTAAGCCTATGATATATGATTTGATGCAGGCTAGAGATGCAGAACATAATCCTTCATCGGATGAGTTGGTGAAGGAAAATCAACTCCTGAACTCTGACAAGAAGAGAGAAATCAACAAGGAAGCTTCTTCAAATTTGAGGTTAAGAGTGAAACGGGATGATAATTTTGACAGCAGTGAGACAGGGTCCTCAAGAATTCCAGATGCAGCTCCTGCAAAGAGCAGCCATGGTTCATCACCAGTTTATTTATTGAGGGTTTTGCTAGTCCTTATCTTGTTTGTCGTTCTTGTTGGAATCTGTAAATGTCTTGGATCATGATAATTTACTCTGAACATATGCCAGTGCAGATAAATAGATTAGAGTATCGTTAATTGATAAGGAGGGGTTAGCATTATGGATTGGGGCATAAGTTGCTTGAGGGTGCAGTGTGTGAAATATTGGATAACCTTTATGTATAACGAGCAGTCGATATTAGCTTAGCTTATAGAAAATGTGCAATGATGTCTTTGTTCCTGAACAACAAGTAATTACCAGCGATGCTATTGTTAGGATTAGGACGTTGTTAATGCTGCTGACCTCTGTTCCTGGAACTCCTGATAAGACAAACTACAAGTCGATTTACTTTTCGATCAAAAGCTAACTATTAGCAATTTAATTGCTAAACATAATTTTGCTACGATTGGCAGGTAGGGTTAAAGAATTATTTCCAGTCCAAGGTCTCTTCTCTCTCGAGTTCTCAATATACAGTTTAAGCCATCGAAAAGATTATGAGAATTCCTTGTTTTGAGAATGTTGTGGTTGGATAAGGTCAATTTTTTATGCATCAGAAAGAAAAGTCATTTGTTTATTTATTAGTGTGTTGTGCAATGATTTTTAACCTAACCAAATTAAATAAATTTACAAAGTGAGCACTGGAGTGGATCGGAGGTAACAAGTGGACGAAGATTGAAGAGGACTGGATAAGGATTAGGATTTCGGAGGGAGCCAAATAATAAAAAAACAAAAGGGTCCAGAAGAATCTAAAACCAGCACAGGATATCATTGTTCAATGACTTTTTGGCCGCCACGTAGCAGCCTAGCCCATTGGAAAAAAAAAGGAAATTAAGCGGCTTTTGTTATTGTTGCTGAGGCGCCGTGGTATGCCCCAATTCTATCTTCTTCAAAGTCCCCATATAAAAAATAGTTAAAAGAGAGAGAACTAGAAAGGAAGCACAGTGGCTGTTAAGATACATAATAAAATCCTTCGATTTGACAGATTCCGCAGAGAAGGAGATCTATACTCTAAAGAGGAGTAAAAGAAAGAATATGATACTAGTGGCCATAGTTGCAGAGCTGCTGGAGGAGTACACGGCGGTACTGGCAAGGATGCTGGAGCACATGTTTAATGAAGCCCCTTTCCCAAGGCGGATTCGTTTCCTCATTCTGCGCAGCCTGCCTTTCGCTTCTTCCTCACACCCTCCTCCTTTAATTCGAGGTCCTGCTTCAGCTTAATTACAATGTTTTGAATTCCGGTTCTGTGTACATATTTGGAGGATTTTGTTTCTCTGTACTAGTTTGTTTGATTTGATTAGATTAATGTTCTTCAATCTTCAATATTTGTTTGATTTAATTTTACTTTTAGCCTTTAGCTGAAATCAATCAAACAGTCGATTCAATTAATTAAGTTATCATTTTCCAGAAGTGACACGTGGCCTCGTTAGAAGAGTGTAGAAGCCTTTCTTTGGATATTTATTTTTAGTACGACTTAAAAGAAAGCAATTTTTTTATCAAGAAGATGATAAAACAATGCAGCGTTGGCATGTGGAGATGTTGGGGTGAGGATGGGCCGTCAAGCCGATGGTTTCATTCGCATAAATTCAAGCATTCTTCTGCATCTACATGTCCAATGTGTTTTTCTTAGTTAAAAACTACGTCGGATCAAGTAAGCCTATTTAACTCAAAAAATGAGAATTAAAGTTAAAAAAAAAAAAAATTTAGACTAAAAAAATTGAAGACTATTTTTCTTTAGAAAAAAACAAAGATGTCGTGTGTGTATACTATAGTTTCAATTGCGTAACAAATACATGACAAATGTTATAAGATAAGAAAAATAATTTAAAATTTATTTTGAAATAATGAATTTGATATTACATAATTACTCATCTTTAAAACTTTTATTTTTTATAATTATATTGGAAACATTATTTTTACAATTAAATAATTACGAATAAAAAATTAGATTCACCAAAATGAAAAATAAATAATTTTTAGTTAATTTAAAATCGAATGATTTATATTTAAATGTTTTGAATTTAATGGTGAAAAAAAGAATTTTATACCAATAGAGAAGTACAAAGTTTGTATTTGTACTAAGAATTTTATTTTTCTAATAATGGTAATGCCAATTGAAAATTACGGGTGATTAATTAAATGGATAAATCAAGCAAATTGCAAGGGAATAATTAACTTCCTGTTTCCTCTTTAATTGATGGAAGAATAATACCCTAACTAATAATGAATTAGAATTCAATGGTTCTGAATGACAAGTATTAATAGTTAATTGTTAAACTAATCAAGCAGTGAAATGAATATGAAGATCGATGATTCTCCCAATTGCAATTTGATGCTGTTTGCACTTACATACAAACCAGAAATTAAGGTTCTCTTTCCCAAGTCCTAGCTAGCTGGTAAAAACTATCACTCCATCCGACAATACCTTAATAAATATGAATAAATAAATTTGTGTGAAATGAGATTTTGCAAAATCCATAAATGAATTTTGTAGTACTCTGGACTTTACAGAAGATTTACTATTTTATGAAATTATGAATTTAATAACGGTATACACCTGTCCAATCTCCAAATTAGTAATAATTTTTTTAATATTTAAGTTTCTATATGCAAAATATTAATTTGATGTGTGATTAATATTATTTTTATAATAATAATTTTCATATTTTTAGCTATCGAATTAGTATATTTAATTGATAGAGTGTTCAATAAAATAATTTTACAATTGAAGAAATGGTGAAGTTTTACAAATCACATGTCCAATCGATTAAAGTAAAATTGAGGAATTCTTTTTTAAGCAAAATGAGATTATATACACACAAATAAATATCATGCATGCATGGCGATGGCGTCTGTTGTTTAGCAAGAAAGAAAGAAAGAAGAAAGGTTTTTCAAAGACAGTATAATGGAAAAGAAAGATATAAAGAATATATCATTCCATCACTTTGCATCAAAAACCCATCTTTTCTTTTCATCGATACTAATAATAATCTATTTATATGCTATTGTCACGAGGGAATGATATTCCCCTCATCAGAAGGGTGTCAGCAGCCATATATACATATATAAAAGCTTGACCCACATCTGAAGCATAAGCATTAAAATTAATTACAGATACCATTCCCTCCCTCCAGTTAATTATATATGAAACCATTCAATTAAGAATTTTGCAGTGAGTTAATTTGAGAGCAAGAAAGCTGCTGATATAGAATAGGATTGGACGACAGCTTTGGAATATATTACACATGGAACAATAGGAATAGGAATTGGAATTAAGAAGCGATGCCAATATATATATCCACAAAAAGAATATCTTGTCCATAAATTCAAACCAGTTGCTTTCTATATATTGAAAGGAACCTCTAACTGCTATGGCCACCTTCTTCCAAAGATCATTTAAGTCTATCATATCTGCCATCTCTTACTCTTACTTTCACTTTCGGGACGACCATACACGCATCAGAAACAACAACATGCCAAAGGGCCGACCTCTTTCTTTGCAGGTTTCCTCATAATTTGTGTGTTTATATGTATATCTTTTGTTGGTCGTATCAGAAACTAATTAAACTTTTCATTTCAACTTGCAATCCACCATATCAACATGGAAAAAAAAAAAAAAAAGTAGCAGAGAGTGACCTCTACCTATGAGTCACTGTTCTATTGATCTTCTTTCTTGGTCCTTATTTCTAAACTTGAAGGAATTACTGTCTGATACATATATGTATGTTTGGCAGACTGTGGAGCTGAAAGTAAGGATGTGTTGCAGCGGATGCGAGAGAGTTGTGAGAAATGCAATTCACAAGCTTAGAGGTATATAATTTTTATGGATTAATTAATTTTAGTGCGAAATTTAAATCATGAATTATATAATTAATTAATTAAGAAAAATGAATGAATAGGGGTTGATTCGGTGGAGGTGGACCTAGATATGGAAAAGGTAACGGTGATAGGGTACGTGGATCGAAACAAGGTGCTAAGAGCAGTAAGGAGAGCGGGAAAGAGAGCAGAGTTCTGGCCCTACCCAAATCCCCCATTATACTTCACAAATGCGAATCACTACTTCAAAGACACGGCCAACGAATTCAAAGAAAGCTACAACTACTACAGGCATGGCTACAATGTCGGAGAAAGGCATGGGACCATTCCTGTCACTCAACGGGGCGACGACAAGGTCAGCAACTTGTTCAACGATGACAACGTTAATGCCTGCTGTCTTATGTAATCTTTTTCCATTACATATATATCTACCTTAGTTGTCTTATGTTTAAAAAATATCTGTCTATTTCGCTAGGGCCTTCGTTTTATTTATTTCTCTTTAGTTTGTAACATATTTGTAACATATGTGAATGTGCTTTTTTATATATATATATATATATTTTCTCATTTGTAAACGTGGTGTCGGAATATATTCAATGGAATTATTTAATTACTTTGTATTATTCGAGTCCGGTTTCCAGAAATATATTTAATTACTTTGTAATAAAAATTGCTAGTTAAATTCACAATTAGGTTAAATTTATTAAATAAACTAATTGAAAAGTAATGAGTAAGGCTTATTCATATAAACATTATTAATTGACTCAATTTAATTTATTATATCTATTTTTAAATGTTTCTAATGAAATTGGATTGGATCATATTAGATTGGATCGAATTAGAATGAATGTAACTTTTGTGAAATGTAAAAAGCACGGAATATTGGAGTTATTGTTTATTGAAAAATAGTTTCCTTCGTGTGGAAGGCTATCTACTACTAATAGTATGCTTTTAAAGAAATGGAGATAAGGTTTAGCTAGCTAGTGGGAAGTGGTGTGTGTGGTACTGATGGTGGGACACATTCCTACGACTTGTCAAAGTTCCTTGTGGCGTTATTTTGTGGTTGATTATGTAAATAAAAATTAGTATCATGCCATTTCACTAATTATTTCGTAGGAAAATTTTAAAGGAGAAATAAAATTATTTTAATATAAAATATGGTGCTGATTGCTGAATTTATACATTTGGCTGGATTCTACGGGGGAAAAAAAGGGCATCCTTCTTCTAAAGAGTAAATATGAGAAATTGTATCTTGCAACTGAGAAGGAAAACGCACTTGAACCCCTCTTTCTTTTTTATATAGAATTATCTTTATATTTCCTTTTCAATTTACTTTATCATTCTTCTCAAAGTTCTCCTGTATTTAACTTGGTTGAATTGATTTTGGATTAATCCAGTAATTATAAATTTTATTACAAACTTATTCAGTAATTATAATTTTACTTTAACTCGAAATTTGTACCTTGAATATTACTCAATTGCAATTTTATAATGTTAAAAAAAATTTTAATTAAAATAAAATAAAAATAAACCATACAACTAAGATTAGGTTAATTTAATCCAAACTCAACTAAATACAAAATGCATTAGTGATATAATTAAAATATTTAATTCTTCCTTCTAATTAATTAATTAATAAGTGGAGGATGTTAATTTTGAAGAATATATATATATATATTTTAATAATTTCTGATCGGGGTGAAAAACCCAGCATTAGCAGGAATACAAATTGACTCCAGCTCCGAAAGAGAAGAGTCGTCAAGAGGGACAAGGAAAACCACTCCCAGTTAGTTAACATCGCTCAATCACATACTTAAGCTCGCTTTCTTTTCCGTATTTTGATTATTGAATTCGCATTTTCATTTTGCCTGCGACTGCCTGTTGAGAGCTTGGTGGTTTGAAATTGAGAGGGTTTGATCATCTTCAATCTTCATCACAAAAAGATGAGCAGTGACCATACTGAGCGAGCCTCTTCTTCTCGTTTATCACCGTTGGCTCGTCCTTTCAATTTGAATCCGAATTCACTTCACCATCAGTATCAGCCCCAATATTTAAACGTTGACCTCTCTCACTTTGACGCTTATGCAAACCATTCTTCTTCTTCTTCTTTGCAATACGGCTCTCAACTTCCTTTCAACATTCTTCAGATTCCCCGCTGGAAGGATAAGGATGGCGCCGTTCCCGTTCCTGGTGCTTTCTCTTCTAAACGAGGTATCCATCAAATCAATTCTAAACTCTCTCTACCTTTTTAAATCACACGTATGTCAGCAAATTCGTGATGTCGATTCTGTTCTTCCATGATTTCTTTACTTCTGCGAATTACTTAAAATCAGCTGTGGGCCTTCATATGCTTGATGTGATTACACAATTCAATATACGTACTCTATGTAGTGAATAGTTTACATTGACCTGGTCTTCTGCTTCAGCAGGGAGGCATAATCCTTTTCTCATGTTGAGATTACTGGTATACATACTGCCTGAAATTTTATTTAGAGAAAAAAAAATGTGTAAGTGGCAAAAATTGGAAGAGGCTGTGAAAAACATTATATTAGCCTTCAAATTCAAATAGTCAGGTCACCAAGTTCTAGCAATAAGCTTGGCATTCTAAATGTCTATACGCACATGAATACACACACAAAAAAAAAAAAAAAAAAAAAAAAAAAAAGTCAGGTCACCAAGTTCTAGCATAAGCCTTGGGCATTCTAAAATGTCATAGCACATGCAATACACACACAAAAAAAAAAAAAAAAAAAAAAAAAAAGAAGACACAATCTTCACTAGAGCAAATAGAACAGGGCTCAAATTCAGGATTATAAAAAAAAAAAAAAAAAAAAAAAAAAAAGAAGACACATCTCACTAGAGCAAATAAACAGGGCTCAAATTCAGGATTATTTTCACCCCTCTGAAATTATATTTCCATATCTATTCGGTACTTTTTACCCCTTGAAGTTAGCTGCTTGCAAGCGTGTACTTTTCATTGTTTTCACTTTTGGTGATCTAGTATTATATTTAACTTTGCAATGATTTATGGGTTTTTCAAAACTGTTATGGGATGTGATATAATTCTATATAATTACAACTATGGCATAAGTTAGGCACCGTGCTACTTTGTAGGAAAATCTCCTGCTGAAGAATTGAAGGCCTTGGGTGAACTATCTGAGAGTTTGCATGGAAAATGCATTGGAATATCGGGGAAAGAAAATGAAGATAGATCCAAAGAACAGCAGATTGAAGTGGAGTGTGTTCCTTTTTCAACCATATCAGAATTGTGGCCCAATACAATAACTGAATATCCTCAAAGTGAAATGTGCCCAACAACTTATCGATCTTGTGATTCAAATATCATTTCTTGTGAGAGAAATTTATCACAACTATTTGATTCTTATGCGGCGAAACTGAGGATTTCCTATTCATCTGATAGTGATTTTCCAGTTCAAGTCTCTGCAGCATCAGATGCTCATACATATTATTTACCTTTTGATCTTCTTTTACATCAGAATCTATACTCTGAGGTGCATGGTGCAGTTAGCAATAATAACCAGTTTAATTGTAATCCAAGCAGTATAAAGGAGTCCTATACTTTGCTGGATAACAATGATAAGGAAGTTTTCCATGAACTCATGATGGCAAAGTACGATGATGGAAAGGATGGAAAATCTATTGCTCATGAAGTTATCGATTCCTTAACTGTGTCAAAGTCTGAGCTGCATATCACTCATCCTAGCAGTCCTCATTATTTAACTCTGAAATTGCATGGTACTGAAGAAGATGATCCTGTTGAATATTCTAGTAAGATGTTAGGTGAAAATGATTCTGATTTAGATTCACCTTGCTGGAAAGGAACCATGACCGCTAATCAATCAACATTGGAACACCCTGGACATGTGAATTTGCAACATCTTAAAAGTGGACAAGAAGCATTAAGTAGTTTCAGTCCACTGTCATCTCAGTTTTCTTCTAGTGATGATGAACAAAATATAAATTACTGTGAGAGTGAATGTGATGGAGATAATGCTTCCTTGTTCCTTAAGAGTGCATCCTTGACAGTTAGTTTACCTTCTGAGGAACTGATATCTACAAATTCTATTACAGCAGGATCATCTTCTTCTGAACAGAGAAATAGGATTGGAATTCATAGCTCAAATAATATCTGTCTTCCAGATGAGGAACATGCTCTACTCAAGAAGAATGGGCCAAATGTTGCAGGCTTTGCGAGGTGGATTGAGGATCCTAGACACGATGATTCAACTAGTATTTCCTTTGCAAGCAATGTATTTAGTTCATCTTCTTGTACAGTTGGTGTTCCTGCTGATTTTACTGAAACACATGGGAGTGCAACTAGATCTTTTTCTATGCCTCCGAGATTAGATATTCAAAGAATAGTTATTACAATGAATGAACTGTCAGAATTGCTTATGCAAAAATATTCAAATGATTTAGATTCTTTGAATGAGCATGAGCATGATATAATCCAGAGTATTATCAGTAATCTTACTGTGTGCATCAGAAATTGGGTTGTAAGAAAGAACTCTGATGCCTGAATCTAGTCATCCAGACACATCATACTGTCTTAGGAAGTCTGCTGATCTCTGCAAGGTATAAAATTTTTATTTTATATTTGCAAGTTGTGGGTCTGATCAGGAATGAGTTTGAATGTCCCTTGATCTAGAAGCAACAAGGTTATCTTGTTCTACCATTAATGTTCCTGGATCTATTTCTGTTACTAAATATTTCAGTCATATCTCCACATGGTTTATGTTGTTGGTAATACTTTACAAGTTTATTGTTAGATTCTCCTAAAACAACATGACTGATCTTATGACTGCAAATTCTCATGCCTTATGTGATTGTTGTCCATAAGATTTGCTAATTTGAGTTGCTCTTTTCTTCCAGCACAATGATGTATCATGTAGGGTAATACAAATAGCAAATGTTGTAGTATTATATACTGATAACATGGTTACTACAACTGCAAGTTATTGTGCAATGAATTTGACGGCTGTATTTGTCATTGTTGCTGGAGTTGTACCAAACCATAAACTTGAATAATGTTCATAGCATTGCTCAATCATGGAATTTCAAGCAACAAGGATGAAGCCGAATACAGTTTCACACAATCTTGTTGATCAGAATGAGCATGAGAAGCAACAGAGTCATTCTACTAATTTTCGTGAGAGACTCTTTCATTCTTTTTCTACGAGCAAGGATGAATGAAGCAAAAGGGGTGAATGAATCACAGAGGTAGACCTTAACACTGTTATGTTTTTTAGGTCTTTTAAATTTTATAAAATTAAAACGTTTGTTCTCTGTGCTAGACACAGTTCGCTTAGCATGCTGTGATGAAGCGGCATTAAATCAATGATGTGAATTCTCAATTTTTGTTATAGGGAATCTATGGCTTGAGGCACGGCGTTTCATTGAAGTGTGACAACTGTTAGGTGAAGGTTGTCAAGGCGTGTGGAGGGTGTCTAAGGTCAGGGTGATTGAGGATCAAGGGAAAGGAAGCAGCTTTTGGAGATGAAGTGAGATGTTGGGTTCATCCAGCGAAAGCCTGTCCTAGATGACTCGAGCATAGAATCAAAGGAATTCTATTTGCTTCTGCTAGACTGATCAATGAGATTTTTGTGGCCCTGATGTAGATTGTTACAATGTTAGTTTCAAATCGAAAATGTTGTATCAAGTTTGATATTAATTAATGCTCAAAAGTACCTAAGCAACGATAGCTCAGATGTGGCTATTGCGTATTAATCTCGCTAATAAATGGCTATTGTGCCAAATGTTTTCTTTTTCCCCCTGAAATTAATGCTAGAAATATTTTTCCATTGAATTATTAGCACTTACCCGAGTGTTTAGTTTGATCTAGAAATGGAAATATGATGCGGATTCTATTTTCTTGGTTTACAGGAAACCAGGAGTGTGTTGGCATATCCTTAATATAATACAATGTACGAGAAATAGTGTTATTTTTTAAATACAAAATTAAAATTTGCTTTGATTTCTTCGTGGATTTCATAAAAGCACTGGATTGGAGAACTCATCATACATTAAGGATTTGGGCAGGAGCCCCTGGGCTTTAGGATGACTGTAGCTGTGCTCCTTTTGCTTTTTTCCATTGTATGGGCCTGTTATTAATGTTGCTGCCCCGTACCTTTTAGAAATCATCAAAATGCTGTAGATAATATACATATACACATGTCTGTGTGTGTTAGTACTTAAAATTACAAGTAACTAAACTAGATACGAATGCGGTTGAATTTGGATAGGCAGAGGAGGAAGGGGGAGAGGGGTAGGAAGGAGGCCATTTATCTCTCATTTAGTGCGGAGTGGTACCACATAAAACATTTCAGGCTTGAGTTATAAATGGCCAAGTGGAAGTACAGAAATAACCTATGAACCCATTCACCCACTGGGACAGAATTGTGACAAGTCATGTAGTGGGGACCTTTCATTTGGCCATTTGGAATCCCGTAACTCCAGTATTTTGCATATACTGCTGATTTCTTTTATGCAAATAGTATACAAGCAAAATAAAATAAAACAGAGAAAGTCATTGCTTATATATATAGATATTATATATTTTTGTCATTGGCTAGGGCGAAAGCACAAATCAAATTAAACTACTATTATATATATATATATATAATATGGTCCATATGGTTCACATGGTCCATACTATATATATATACATAATTTTTTTTTTAACAAAAAAAAAGAGAAGGAAGATGCAGGGAGGTGGTAGGTAGGTAGGTAGGTAAAAGAGTGAAAAAATGAAGACAGACAAAAGATAGATAGGAAAGAATCGAAAAAGGAAAAAAAAAAAAAAAAAAAAATATATATTACATAATTTTTTTTTAAGCAAAAAAAAAGAGAAAGGAAAGATGCAGGGAGGTGGTAGGTAAGGTAGGTAAGGTAAAAGAGTGGAAAAAATGAAGACCAGACAAAAGATTAGATAGAAAGAATCGAAAAAAGGAAAAAAAAAAAAAAAAGAAAAGAAAAGAAAAGAAAGGAAAAAAAAAAAAAAAAAAGAAAAGAAAAGAAAAGAAAAGGAAGGGAATGGGCAACTGGTTGCAGATTGGTAGTAACCTCAGAGCAAGAATCTGAGTATCCGTCATTGAATATGGGAGAGCAAAATCCAGTGCTGACTCATCCAAGCCATCCAGCAGTCAGAGATTTCTGAGACCCTATCCTTTAATTTGGCCCACACCACACTTTTCATCTTTCTTTCCGGCTGCAGTGGAAGCAGAAGCAGAAGCAGAGCAGGACCTTTGTAATTGGGATGAGGGTTGTTTTTATGGGATCGGCTGCCACTCTTTTGCACTGTCATTGTTATATATTTTATTATATATATATAATTATCTCGAAGTTGTTTCTGCATGTACTGATCTGAGCTGTTGATGGGATGAGTTTGGAGACCAAAAGAAAAAGAAGGAAAGGCAGTTCATGTGGTGCTGTGATATATTGAGAAATGAGAAAAAAGAGACAAAGGAATAGATAAATATCACGGGAATGTGAATATGTGATAAAGAAACGTGGTCCATCATGCCATACTCTACTGCACGCTTCTCTCTTTCTCTCTCTCTCTCGTGCTAAGCCATTAATACATAGATATTACATACACTAGACTCGGGACTCTCTCAATCAAAACATATTTAGGCACCATTTTGGTTTGTGATTAATCACTTGCTTATGAATAAAAAATCTCGGCATGAAATTGCTCTCATACTTAAGAAAAACTATATTGATATCCATCCAAATCTAAATAAATATAAAATTATTAAATTTTTATTGGGTTGGAGCTACTTAGCTAGAATTGAGGATAGTTGGTTTTTGTTCCCCCATTTTCGAACAAGCCAAAAGAGCTTGGCTACCTCCACATGCGTTACGGTGGTAGTACTGTATTTCTAAACAATTAAGCGGGCCTTAGGCCTTAGCTAAATTAAGTAGCCTTAATTAGCAAGAATATATGTGTATATGTATAATATCTATAATATATATAATATATATATATACTATATATATATATATATATATATTTTATATTATATATATATAATATATATGTATGTATGTAGTGACCAGACAGCCAATTTAAAGGCATCAACATCAGAATTAATGGCTTTGTATGTATGTATGTGACAGACAGCCAATTTAAGCATCACATCAGAATACATGGCTTTAAGGTTAGCTACGTCATGTGTGTGATAAAACAATATTATAAATTAAAAATGCAAAAATGTTAAAAGGGGTTGAGAGGTAGCAGAAGAGCAGTTTCTAATTTGATAAACAAAGCCATGAGATGAGATATCGTTAGGGTTGTCTGTTTTCATCTCTTTCTGTTGCCTGCTGCATCCAATAGGCAGCCCTTTATTTCACTTCATCATTATATCTCATTGATGGGTCTCTTTCTGGATACGTATATATATATATATATATATACGCAGACATATAATACTCAAATAATTACTGGGCTTAGCTACCTAGATGCTTCATATGCTCACAAGGGACGGCGCCTATATATCTTATAATCATCCATTTATATTCTTAAGCTCAGTCGCCCTGTGGGTTGTCTCTATAAGGGATGACAGTCTTACACCAACTGGATTTCGTGACGGAAGGACACTGCCCAACTCCATTGTTGACACATTATTTCCAATTCAGTTTTGGGTTTTTTTTCACTACCTAGCCTAGTTGATTAATTGTTCCTAATCCATGTATTTTTATAGCTAGCGTGAAAGGAATTATTTGTTGAAGGTGTTATCTTTTTCCATTAGAGCTAGCAGTAGCAGTAGTAGGTAGCTGGCTAGCTGAAGCTATTATGGTGTAGATGTTCTTCATACTATTTCCCAGTTTATGTAATTTGCTATGTAATTATTTTGATCTCCTCCAAACTCATTCCCAAAACGTGATATGGTCATGCCCAATGCTACCTTTAAAATTGAAGGAAATATCATGATAATAGCTCTCCGTTTCAACAAGCACATTATTGCTTGCTTTTGTTTGCTTCAATATGCAATTACTAGATCGTGGTTTTCTTTGCTGATTTTTTGGTCCTCTCCATATATAAATTCAACGTGCAAATCATTAGTTTCCTTACTTTGATGGATACTGATTGAAGCAAAATTAGAATATAAGATGTATTTTTTGATTGATTCAATGTGTCAATATAAGTGAGCTATTACAATTACTCATAGGATTTTTTTGACAGGACGTTGTATATTTCAAATAAAATGTGTAACCCTCGGTATTAATCCTGCATTGCTATTAAAACTTTGCACTTAATATATTTATTTCCGATACAAATAGCAAAAATGCAAATATATTCCCTAATTAACATATATATATATATGTGCGCGCGCGCATATGCGCTATAACTTGTAAAAATATTATGAGAATAAATAGAACAATTTTGTGTACAAAACATAAGAGTTTTTATATATACACACACAGTTAAACAAGATAATTAAATTCATCTATGCATACGTAGGGATCAATTGATTATCAAATAAAATTAAATTATGGTTTGATATATAAAATAATACATCATATCTTGGGATGAATTATTTGAGATTAATGTTTCATCTATAACCATGCATATATTAATTAATTCATCTCTAGTAAGTGGTCTTTTCTCGAATGTATATAAACGTTACCTTAAATTGCTTTCTCTTTGGTTCCAAATGCAAGAGTTGAAGTCCAAAACCAATGCATTTCATTTGTTTGGGAATATTCTTTCTAGTCGATTTATTTATTTATTTTTATCAAATAAAGAAATTAAATGAAATTAAGACAAATTGCTTTCCCTGCGGGAAGAAATCAAAGTAATTAACTACGGGCTGCATCATTGAATCCTTGGAGAGCAATAATGTTAAACAAAGCAACCACATAGATGAGAGACTATTTCCTTTTTCGCCGGGAGCAATTAAGTTTAAAGTTCCAAAAAATTACTGATCTTGTGATCACCAGTGTGGGATCTAATACACTTAACGACTGAACCAAGCTGTCTTGGACAGATTTTCTAACTAGTTAGCATTTTTACTCAACAATTGCAATAATTAAGAAAAATAAGTTGTTGCAGCTTCATAAAAGTATATCTATTAAAGGCTGGAAATGGACAACCTGTACGAAATCTTACCAAATATTATCAGAATCCAAACCTCATGTTCAACTAATTATGGAAAAGTGAGAAGACACAACTTTTGCATTGCCAAAGCAATATTTGTAACTCACGAAAACAAGGACAGCATCTTCTGCCCAATTGAATTTGGGAAAGAAGTTATGAATATCAAATAATGAGATAGATATGTGACTTCATCTGTTCCATTCTCCAACCTTCAGCTATTGATGATCAACGCCATTGAAAAAACAACTCACAAACGATAGTCATATATAGGTAGCTGGAGAGAAGAGATCCAAAAAAGCATTATTGGTAGAAAATCACTAGTGAACACATTCAAACTCAGATTAACAAAGTAAAAGTGAAAACTTAATATAAGAATTTCTTCAAGAACACAGACAATCACCAGCTGCTTTTTTATTGTATCAAAACATGCGGGTATTACAACTCTATTTATAGATAAAGCTTAATAAAAATACATTTTACTCAATGTCATATGGGTCCTGCCTTTGTCAAAACCTTCTTATTCAATCAACATAAACAAATTTGTGTTTGCCATATAAAGGCCTACTATATATATAAGAAAACTCTCTTTCAAGGAAGAGAAATATAATTGTTGGATGTAATGTAGGGAACTGTATGCTCTACATAATATTTATGACATGTTTAAGAATCCAAATAATGTAGGGTACAAGTGCGTACATGTACTTGCAATCAAGGCTGTACAAACTCAAAGCTTCAATTTCTGACCCCAAATTAATTGGTACTCAAAAGATTAATACCTTAAGTGAAAACTTTCTTGTGGTTTGAACAATATTTTACCGAGCTACACACACCCACACCTGGCAAAACTGCTCCCAACCTTTATTTTCAGGTCTCAATTCAAAGTAATCTTATCCATTAAATAGTAAAGAAAAGAAATCCAAAGTGGTACAAACGATGGACTGAGGTACATTATTTGCTTATAAGAGTTATAGGGATCAAGATGCAAGTTTAATCCAGTTTGGTTCATTGTGTCGCCAATTGATTAAATCTTTTTGGATTCTAAATGATTCCAGATGATCCACATCTAATTATCTTCATTTCTTTCAATAATAAGAACTCTCAGCTTATGACTCCGATATTTCAATATTTAATTCAGCGGATCCTAAGGCCCCCTCCAGGTTTGGCACATTCAAGATTAAGAGAAAGGAAGAGCAATTGGCTTAGCAAATTAAAGTGTCTTAGATCAAGCGTTTGAGTGAAAAGCAGCTGAAATAGTAACAGATTAATTCTAGCCCCAGAAAGATTTATGTACCAACCGTCCAAGAGTCTACTGGTTTCAATATAGTATGGGAGAATTTAGAGAATTTGGGGTCACTAAGTATGCAGGAGCTTTTACAAGAATATTCAAGGATTTTAGTGCATGAGCTAAATTTTGATGCATTAGCTCATTTTGTAGAAGTGAGAGAAAGGTTCTGGGAATTGCAAAATGAAATTAGGATTAAGATTGGACTTATGCTTGTTTAAATTGTTATGCAGATGCAAAAATATTATATAAATTATCAAAAGAAAAGTTCAATCAATTTGATGGTCAGCAACCCTACAGGGAGTAATCTAGTTGATGTGTATGATGAATTCCAAAGTAAAAGCAAGAGGTGTTTGTAATTAGATTGAAAAACTACTGTTGGCCAGTAGTATTGGTAAAATATATTAAAAGGTAGGATTACAGTGGCGCCTTCTAATTAAGAAGAAAATCATAATGCTTAGAGCTACGAGTGAGTATTCAATTCAGAAGAGCAGTTATAATATGAGAGAACTAGCTAGCTAAAGTGAAGAGGGGTAAAAAAAAGAAGTAAATAACAAAGAGGGAGGGTTAAAGATCGAATAAAGGAACACATTACCTTTAAAAGCTCTGCAGCTATCTCTGCAAAACCTGCAAGCGTGCCCAACGAAGCAGCGACAAGAACAACAACCTACCAAAGTAAAAACAAAAGAGAGAAAGAAAAGATGAACTTGAAAATACATGAGGTTGCCCAAGCATTGTTCTCAGTTACTCAGGAGTCAGGAAAGGTTAGTTACTTACTTATTAGAAAGAGAGAGAAAGAGAGAATAAAAAACTGTTGGAAATTAAAAATTGGTGAGAAACCATGTCATTGATACATATATATTTGGGGAAATCCAGATCCTACAAAAAGAAAAAAAACATGAAATCTCCAGGGACATGGATCTATGTCTCATATGGATATCTATTTATATAATTAATAATATTGCAGTATTACATATAAATATTTATACAAAGAGTTAAAAAAAGAAAGAAGAGCTTTCTCCAGGGTCCTTTCGCCCTTAATTATCGCTAATAAAATTAATCCTTCGAACACCCCAAACCTCCAGTACTTCTTGTGTGCTAATAATCATGATCAGAACAATCCCATCCCTCATTATTGAGCTTGTGATGAATTAGAGCAGCATTTTTAGAAGTTTTGGGTGAGCATTAACAATTAAGAAATAGAACAAAAGAGAATTAAAAATAACGTGTCTGGAAAGAAGGAAAGAGAGAGAAATCAATTAAATTTCCAAATCAAGAGACATGGATGACTTCCCTTTGTGAAGAAATTGGGTGGGTGGTGGAGGGAGCTGTGTGCCATTATAGTGCCTTAATTGGAGAGGATTATGTGAGGCTGAAGAGAGTTGAGCCATTGTGGAAGAAGAAGAAGGAATAGCAATAGGTAAAGGCGAGGACATTATTTTGTCACATTCTTGAGAATCCATGATTAGGCAATCCATGTTTACTCCAAAAAGCCTCAGCCGCTTTAGTGCTGCTTTCCCTTGGACCACCGGCACCGACTCATACACCATTGGCTCCACAAACCCACCTCCTCCTCCTTGCTGCCGTTGCACCATGCCCGTTCCAACCTGTTGTGGGGCTGCCGATCTCATGTAAACTATTGTCCCCGTCGATGAACTATTGCTGCTACTGTAAGCGTAACCATAACCAATATTGTAATTGTACATATTCCTGTTGGGGTTGGATAAGTGGAGGTGGTCCCTAGGCACCATAGGCACTGCAGGCGGCCGCATCAGTAGCGGGCTCCAAGGGATGGATGACAAGTGACGGTGTTGGTTGTGAGAGGTCGGATCGGGTGCATCAGGACGGCGCCTCCAATCAATATACAAACGATCCTTTCCGGAGTCACCCATTCCTCGCTGAAACGAGACGATATCACCGGCGTCGAGCTTCTTGTCCTTTACAAAGCGGCTCCAACCCTTGGTCATGACATAGCTCTGGCTGCTATTCCAGTAGGAGTAACGGAATCTCCAAGCTTTTCTAGTCCTGTCCTCGAAATTCAAAAGGAGCCCCTTCTCGTTGGTAGATGAATCTAATGGGAAGTATTTTTCTGCATGCTGTTTAGGGATTACAAGTCGATTTAGCTTGCCCACGTCGCTCGGAGTCACCACTTTATCAAACATGTGCTCCTTCTCTACGACAGCAACCGACTGATCCTCGTCATCGTTTACGTCCATAAGGTCAAGCTTATTCGCTCCGGTGGAAGTGTCCTCCTGCGCTGTTTCGTACTTGGTGCCTAACCACGAAGCCATTTGATGGTGGTGCTGGGGGTTGTCATAGATTTGGGTTAACTTGTGGTGGTGGGAGGAGGAAGACGAAGGAGAGGAGGAAGATGAGTAAGAAAAAGGAAGCTTATTAGCTTTACTCATCTGGTCATCTTCGGTAAAAGGCGATCCAAAATCCATCTGCAGCTGGGTGGATCTATTGTTGTATTGAGCGAATGAAGGTTGAGATATAGGTAGGGCTAGAGATTATTCTCCAAATGGGAGAGAGAGTAACGATCTTAATTTGACCACGACAGAAACTGCACAGAATGAGAATCCCCCACCATAGAGGACGTTTGGAAGGGAAGAGTGCAATTAAGTTGACCTTGAAATTAGTAATACATGTAAGATGAGGGAGAAGGATAGAATAGAAGCTAATGAAACGAAATGAAAGAAATCTGTACGGGAGGGAAAGTGAAAGAAAGAAAGAAAGAAAGAAAAAATGATTTTCCAGAGGAAAAGAAGAGCAGAGGGGATTCGTCTTCCTCCCACCTGGAAACTTCTGAATAAGTTAGGCGATTTTTCTTTCTTCCTCCTGAATAAATTCTGTTCAAGTTTATACGCGGGGACCTCACGTATTATCTGGTTGGGCTCATGTGAGCTTGTCATTGTCATCATTCTGGGTGGTATTTCCCATTTTTTTTTTTACTTCTTTCTTTCCTTTCCTTTCTCCTTCTATTTTTTTTTTTTATTTTTTAATTTTGTTTATATGGTGCTAAAAGAGCCAGCTGTTTTGGAGACCACGAGCTGCTTCTGATTTGTAGTAATTCATTTTCTCCAACTGGAATTTATTAATTGATTAACTAAGTTAACCTTCTTTTCTCGTTATGGTCACTTTTGGACTTTTTCTGCAAAATCTGATTATTAATTAACAAATTTTGTCTAAATAAAATACATTTTTCATATTTTTTAAATAAAAATATATAAATCCAAAAAATTAAAAGGAAAAATAAATGCTAGTAATAAAATGAGAAAGAAGAGACAGATGGAACGAAGGAAAAGAAACTGGCAATACAATACAATACAATAAAATACATGAGTTTTAGGGTTTTGACTTGGAATCATTAAAACCGTACGGACCACACTGCTCCGGCCAACCGGATTGAGAAGGAAACAGAAACATTAGGTAGTAAAAGTTGAACAGTGTTGACGCAGGGCCGCATGCAGTCACAAGAGGCCCACATACATAGGCCCACCTCCCATGCCTTTTTTTTTATTATTTTTTAAGCAAAAAAAAAAAAAAAAATTGACTTGGGTCCAATCGAAATTGGACGTGTTTGATGGATATCGATATCCTACTAGCCTCTAAGCCTCCTTCCTGCTTTCATAACCTGCTCATGCTGCCAGGTCAACAATGATTGGCTTCTCGCTTTCAATCTTTAATTTTCAGAATGACTCCAAATATTACTAATGCATTTTTAATATGTATACATACCGTCCAATCAAATATCCACCTAATTAAGAATTAATATCATTTTTCATTTTATTAATTAGGTAATGTAATTAATGTATATGTATTTAACATTATCCTATATCTTCTATTTACTAATAATAATAATAATAAAAGTAAAAATTGAATCAAACTAACCAAGTCTTTAAAGGTCTTAATTAACAGAGTAGGACTTGATATTTGATGAAGAAGGCCTACTGATGGACTGATGGGGATATGCGTAGGCAATTAACTCATTAACTTGCTCACATGTGACTGCGAGGGAGGGGACTTGTTTTCAGTCGCCATCCTCCAGTCCAGCTTGTTTCTCGTATATAATTCTTCTTTTTGTCATTTTAGTAGCTGTTTAATTAATTCTGAACGTTAACACAACAGCTAGCTTATTAAAGTTGAGTTGAGTATGATTTTTGTACTCTTCCTTCCTTCCTTCAACTCGCGTATTAATGTCATTTTTAACGATGACTGATTTGAAATGGTTAAAATGGATATACATATATCCATGTGTGAAGTTCTATATATATTAGTTTAAATGAGTAAACAACAGTAATTGATACTACTTGAGAAGGACATCGTAATGCTAAACATGTCCGTGTTGTGCGATTCCCACTTGGTAATTAGAATATATTAATCCACTTAATTAGTATCTTAAAAAATTAAGCTTATTTTAGTATATGAATCACACCATTGGCTGAACTGTGTTTAAGCGGCCAAGCTTTCGTCATCCCTCCAAACTAGACTGACGTTGGCGACCTTCATTTTTTAAAAAAGAAAAAAAAATCCAAACTTTCGAATCACTTAAAATGATTAACTAATAATTAATATCAGCAACTCTTTTTTGACTTGATTAATCTTCATCAACCCATCCCTAATTTCAGTTCCCAACTTGCAGCTCCCTTTCCCTTCCTTGAACGTAAAACCATGCTCCTTCGAGCTTAGTCCAGCCCCTAGTTTTCTCTTTTCTTTATAACTTCTTATAATGTCCCAACTCAAATTTCCCCCCGTTAAACTTTTGATGACTAAACCCTGTCTGATTGATAATGATTTAATTACAACTTTAATTAGGCTAATATTCAGTGATTCAGATCTAATTATATTTAAGAATTTTTTTTTCTTTTTAATTTCTTATAGCTAAATGAAATTATTATTCTATTACTTTAATCCTAACTGAAGTAGTCAATTGGCGTCAAAAAAAAAAAAAAAAAAAAACAGATCTAATTATATTTTAAAAGAATTTTTTTCTTTTTTAATTTCTTATAGCTAAATGAAATTATTATTCTATATACTTTAATCCTTAACTGAAGTAGTCAATTGGTACGTCAAAAAAAAAAAAAAAAAAAAAAAGGGTAAAAAAAAAAAAAAAAAAAAAGGGTAATTATGTTTACTTACACCATTTTTGGGATGGTATGAACTATTTCCTCCATCTGAAAGTAATCACACCATTAATTAAGACGGATTTCAATAATAGACTTAGCAGCTTTTTTTTTTTTAATTAAAAAAAAGTAGTAATAATAAAAGATTCAAGTGGCTGCATTTGATAATAATTACTTATGTGATTACATAGACAACTCATAACACGTAAGCTGCAATTGGATCAAATCTTACCTAAAAAAGATGTATGATTTAGTAGCTCTGATGAGTTTCTCCTTATTAAAAAAAAAAAAAACCGACGTATTGATTCAATTGCCACTTGAAATTTCATTTATTTAATTATATGTTTTATCTATTATAAATCTCTACATTGTAGAGATGGTTAGGGGTGTTTATTAACGGTCCAAATCACTCAAATGATCTAAAATTATATCCTTAAAAAATTAATTATTTAATTTAGTTTAAAAAACATAAAAAACCAAAAAATCAACTCAGTTTATAATTTGAGGTTCAATAAATTGCCTAAACTAAATAAAATCCAATCTACATATATATTATAGGAAAAAATAATGCCATTAATAAGATACTATCATCTTCTTTAACAGATATTTTCAAAATTATCGTTTCTCTTATTATTTATATATTTTATCAACGCCTTTTTTTCTCTCTTTTTTGGAATCAAAGCACTTGAAAATAATGAATAAATGCAAATTAAATGAGGTGTAACCAATTAAATGAGGTCCATCCATTTTGGGGATGGTCATTCTATTATTAGATAATTAGAAGAAAATAATTTATTGTAAATCTCCTAACAAAAAAAAAAAAAAATAAAAAAAAAAAAAATGTACCCTAATTAAGTTGGGGTTGCATCCAAGGGATTGTTTTGGGTTGTGAATAATATATAATATATATACTATATAATATATATATATATATATATGCAATTTAGTCCATTGACTAATAGAAAGATATGCAATTAGTCCATTGACTAATAGAAAGAAATGGCAATTTTTGAAAGTCATATATCTAGTGGTAGAAAAAATATTGTGCAGGAAATTAAGGAGTGCTGTTGGAGTTATTATATATTAGTTAATGGACCCGTCCGGCCCTTTCCCTGATCAGTGCATTATTCACGCGCCCAATTAGCAGAATCTTTGTGGCTTGTTACAATTAAATCCTAATTTTAACTTTTCTGACAAATATATCCTAAAATAAAATTTAGAGATTATATAGTTACAGTTAAAATATGGTGCAATTGCAATATTATAGAAACTGCAGGATATTTTTTTCTCCACTAGTACTAATTTAATTAAAAATTGTACTTCATCCTCAATTAAGTGCTTTTAAAGAATTGCAACGTGACAGCTGCTTTTTCTTTTCTTTTTTTTTTTTAACTAGCACCAAAGGCTTATATTTCAGGTAACATAACAGCACAAGTGAAAAGTACTTATAATGTTGACAATATTGTACATGAAAATTAATTGCATATTGTCCCTCTTCAACAACTTCTTGTTATTATGATTTGTGATTATTGAGAGAGATTAAAAAATTTATAAATTGATTAATCTCTAGAGTACAAAAATATCTTCAACAGTTGTATTATTGTAATTGCATCATATTTTAATCGTAAGGTACAAATAATTATTTTAGGGTGCAAAAATACACTATGCATGTAATTCATTATAGTCACACTTATCTTTTAATTTCTTCAATTTCTATAATTAATTATAAATTTTATTTTAGGATATATAAAAGAGAAGTCAATCAAATTAATCTGATTAATTTTTCCGTGTCTTGTAAAAGATATAAGAAATGAAAGATATTCAGTTCGAGTCTTCTATGTAAAAAAAAATTATTACCAATTTATAACGTTATTTAAAAGAGTAGACCGTGTAAAGTTACTCCTATTGTGTAGCCCAGATCCTCCCATGTGCTAAAAAAGAAATAGAAAGAGAAGCAAACAAAAACGAATGGGAGGGGGAGAGAGATATACACAACAAGTAAGGACCACTCTCTTTCCAAAACTCTACTAACAAGCAACAGCAGGACCATTACATATAATATACTCCACTCTCCAAGTTGGCGGCTCTCTTGTTTTATCTTTCCACTTTCCACTGCTACTGTCGGCCCTCAGTATTATCATCATATACTTACTAGTGTATATTATGTAGATTATCCATTTATCTATTCTTTCTTGGCATATACGGAGATTGAGAGAGATGATTAGGAAGCCTTAATTACAACCTGACTGATTTAAGAAGCCCATCCCCACTTTATGAGAATAATTAATTATGTTACAAATGGGAATTAAAATATAAATACAGTTCCTTTAGTCCTTGCACGTGAGAATCAGTCAGTAATTAAATTGTTAAGGGTAGATCATAAATATGGAGAGTTTTAGTTTAGGGGCTCAATGCCACCCTTGCAATTTGGTTTGTGTGTGGGTGAAGAAAAAGAAAGAAAATATACAAGAACACCATTTTAATAATTCTTGGAAGATTCAATTCAATTCATTAGCAAAAGTTTATATCTTGATGCAGTTGCACTCCATCAGCTAAAGAAGTCAGTCGAAAGACAGAAACTTAAAAAAGAAGAGAGAGATTTTTCATGTTATAAAAGGTAAAATGGGCAATAAACAATTAAACTTGTGAAATGTTTCCCCTTTTAAATATTTATAGATTAGGGGAAAAAACAACGTGCCTACTTGCGTTGCATCCTTTCATCATATAGGAAAGCCTACTGTAAGGACAAAACTACTTTTTACACAAAATATTGCTCTTATTAAAATTGGCATAATATATAAATTTGACATTATATTTTTATCATTTTTTTTTATAGAGACTCATTATGACCTTATATTTTCACATTGTCCTTCATTAAAATAAACTGTGAAAGCGCATTGTCACAATTAAACTCCTACAAAGTTATTTTATTTTGACGAGGGGAATAATTATTATTGAAATGTAAAATTACATGATCATGATTGAATTCCGTAAGATTAAAGAAGCTACAAGGAAAATCTCAGAAATTTAAATTTAAGCGTTAGGACCGGTTAAAATTGGTTCTACCATGTTTCATAAATTCATGTTATTATACTGTTTAAATATTGTGGCAAATACTACACGGTTTTTTTTTTTTTTTTTTTTTTTAAAATTTAAGCGTTAGGACCGTGCAGTTTAAAATTTGGTACTTACCATGCTTTCATAAATTCATGCTTATTAATTACTGTTTTAAATATTGTTGGCAAATTACTACACGGTTTTTTTTTTTTTTTTTTCGAATGCCTATATATCATCGGTATCTGAACCTTATCACAGGATCGACTTAATTCGAATGGTTGAGTTTAAATACTAGTTAAGCTCTTGCGTTCTCTCTGCCATATGCATTTAGGTTAGAGATCGCAGATCACGAGAACTCTATGCTTACACTGTTCAGCCTACATTCCAACTTGAGCTTACAAGCCGTGGATATACTACACGCGTTTTTTTTAGCAACTTTCCACCACCAGGCCTGATTATTTATTGTGGCCAAGCCCACCTAAGTGTCAGTCCGATCTTTTATTTGTTTTCGTCGGCTCTTATTGAGCCAAGCCCGTTTCTAATGACGGAGCCAGAGGGTTTAAGAACTGTGCATAAATTATCTCTTTTGTTTTTTTTTTTTTTTTTTGTATATATCATCGGTATCTGAACCTTATCACCAGGATCGACTAATTCGGTTCGGAGTTTAATTACAGTTAAGGCTCTTCGTTCTCTCTGCATATGCATTTAGTAGAGATCGAATCCGAGAACTCTTCTTACACGTTCAGCCTACATTGCCAACTGAGCTACAGCCCGTGGATATACTACACGGTTTTTTAGCAACTCACCACCAGCCTGATTATTTTTGTGGCCAAGCCCATCCTAAGTGTCCAGCGAATTTATTATGTTTTCGTCGGCTCTATTGAGCCCAAGCCCGTTTCTATGACGGAGCCAGAGGGTTTAAGAACTGCATAAATTATCTCTTTCTAGGGTTAATACTTCTTTTCGGCAACGAAACAGAATCGCAAGGAGTCGAAGGTAGAGGAAGAAGAAGCAATGGATTCGTTTTCTTCGCCGTCCATTGGATCAGGATCGCCACAAATGTCAACTTCGGATCTCATGGACCAGTTGAAGAATCAGCTCGCTCAGGCTTATGCCCAGGAGTTCCTCGAGGTTTACCTTTTTAGCCATCTCTCACGTCATTCAGTGATGTTAATGTGGTGACTGTTTAAATTTTAATACTTTGTACTAATCTCTATCTCAATATATTTTTATTTATGAAACTTATTCGCCTTCTGCCTCTGTATTCTGATTGTTGATCTCTGAAATTTATTTACCTGAGCAAGACGGTTGTTCAGGAATTTCGGACACATATAATTCTTCTTGTTGATGCTAAGTTCATCTCATCAATACTACGCTTGTGCTCGACGCGTGCCTTTCTAGATATTAGTATTGTTTCATCTATTATGTATTAACAATTTTTCTTATATAGAAATCTGGGTTTGGTTGTCCTCAATTGAGTAAAGTTCATCCTCCTAGCTTTAATTAAATTTCAGTGGCTCAAAAGTCTAGCTTTGTAATGCAATAATCGAAATGGTTTTTGTGCAAGAGAAGCTACACTTAGATGTTAACTTGTTATGTGTCCAGCAGATCGTATCATTTCAACATGCTGAATAGCTTGTTTGAAACAAAGTCGTATCAAGCTGCTGCATGGTGGTCAAGTCAGTCTTGGATTGTTTACCAATTAATAAATCCTCTCAGTTGGGTGTATACAAGAAGTTTTTATAGCTATACTTTTGATTAATTTTGTTTGCAGGGATGAAAAGTTTTAGATATATTTTCTAAATGAATAGCCTCTAACATAGCAAAACCATCTTCAATGTTTTCTCACACAGGTGTTGGGATTGTTACCATGTGTCTCCTGACGAGTACTTTTGCTTGAAGTTGAATTCACTGGTTGTTAGGTTTAAACGCTTTGATATATCTAGCAATTATAGCTTACTATTTTAAAAAATTCATCCTTAAATGTCTTATTCCTGGGTATCAAGGAAATGCAAACTTGAATTTACTAGAAGAGATGTTTTTTTGAATTGGGTTTAGGTATCTTAAACATATTTGCCGAAATTGATAGGTCTCCAACCATTTATACGTTTGCAAAAGGCCTTGGTCAATTAAGTATCCTTAGTAGTAGCTGCATCCTCACTAAACTATATTATCCTTAATAACTATATGATGTATCTCACAGAAGCAGTTCATAGCTGCTTGCCTGGTGCTTGATTACACTCTATGCCATGAAAAATGTTCGTCTACATACTGTTGTCTAATTTACTTAATTTTGTTCTTGCAGACTGTTAGGGGGAAATGTTTTGAGAAGTGCATTACAAAACCAGGGTCTAGCTTGAGTGGGAGTGAAAGTAGCTGCATCTCTAGGTGTGTGGATCGCTACATAGAGGCCACTGGCATTGTTAGCAGGGCGCTTTTCAACGCACCTCGTTAGAATATCTTGCTAAATTCGGAAGAAATTCTTATTGACATAGGGATCTTGCTTCTCATACTTGTATTCATCTTTAGTATTTTACCTTGGGAACCAAAATTTTATTTGCATTGACTGCTAATTTATGATGTGAAATTTCAACCATGCAAAGCTGTGTTGCCTTTGGGGTTGTTACCATTAATTCTGTTAGTTCTAAAAAAATGCATAACATACAAAGCCTGCTAGTTGAGATTTCTTTTTTAATTCTTGTTTCCTGATCACTTGCCTCCTCTATTTCTCATATTAATTGAAGTCATTTTCCACCTTATGTTGATTTATGGTTTGAGAAGTGTATAGTGCCTTAATGAGAATTATTAAACTCTTCCCTTCATCAACACTAGTTCCTGTTGCATCTTTATGTTCATGCTGATTTCCCTCCATTGTGGCTATTTGTTGCGGTCACCCTAAATTTAGTTGTTATTTTGCATTTGGTTAGTGCATAGCTTTTTCCATAGGTAAGGTTCAGCTGTAGCCGTTTAAAAGTGAAATTCAGAAATCGTTGCCATGTTTGGAAATGATGTTCTTCAATTCATCCTCAAGTTCACATGGTTGGAAATGATGTTCTTCAATTCATCCTCAAGTTCACGTTGCTGATTCTTGTGAGAAACATCTATAAGCGACATAGTCACAAGGAGAAACGGTGCGGTTGCTGGTGGTGGTCTTGAATTTGTTGGACAAGGGAATTTGCTGGAGAAGGGAGAAATGCATTCATAATTACGAGTAAGAATTGATGCTAAGAGCATCTCCAATGCTAATGTGGATTCGTTGCTGATTCTTGTGAGAAACATCTATAAGCGACATAGTCACAAGGAGAAACGGTGCGGTTGCTGGTGGTGGTCTTGAATTTGTTGGACAAGGGAATTTGCTGGAGAAGGGAGAAATGCATTCATAATTACGAGTAAGAATTGATGCTAAGAGCATCTCCAATGCTAATGTGGATTGTGGCTGATGTATCATGTGAAATAGAAGATGTGAATGATGATGTGATTGAATGTCTACTTGTAAATATATGGTGTATGCAATTTTTAATGATGCATTAAACAGACAAGATAGGCATATTGATTTGACCACAAGACCTTAAACTATTGCCCTGAATACCTTGTATGAACTGGTCATCATGTGTATAGATGATATCGGCTCTGAAACAGGCTTTCATATAGGACTTCTTAGACCAAAGGGGTATACCCTGGATCTTGGGGCGTGGAAGTTCCGGCACGGAATGGCTCGAAAATGATTATAATACTTTCTACATGTCTTAGACGAAATATTATGGCCTTGAAATGACGTGGCAAGCAACAGACAGATAGATCTTGGTCGAAAACTGCCAAATGCTTCCAGAGTGGCACCAATTATGCGTATTAATTTATATGGCATATGTTATTCTTAATGACGCACCGAGTGTAGACGCTTAAATTTTTTCCTTAAAAGGTTTAGTGATGATATACTGTTTTTTTCATATAAGACTGGATTGGGATTCTTGATCGCCCTTGGTTTTTGGACTGATGGTCTGTGGCTAAAATTATTGATGTATTTGACCACTTTTACCTTTTCGGGTTATCGAACGTTTTGCGATGAAACTGAGCTTGGAAAGCGCGTCGATTTCACTTGGCACACTTTTCGATGCACCATCTCGTTTTGCGTGCTACCTAGTCTGATTTTGTAAAAGTTAGTCGGTCCCATTGTGGGGCCAGATAGTGACTTTTTTGCCACGTTAGCCCTAAAATGGGGCTACTTACCCTTATTTGCCTATAAATAGGCATTGAGGGGTGTGTTAAAGAGGGATTTTTTTTTTTTTGGAAAATAAGGAGAAGTCTTACTTTTTGAAAACTCAAGCAAAGAAATCTAAAGGCAATTTAGGTTAACCTTGGATTTGTGTTGAGAATTTATTGTTAATCAATCAAAAACCCTAGAGACAATCTAGAATCCAAAAAACACAAACTCTAATCTTGAATCTCAAATTTTTGGATCAAGGGCCAAGTATTGGGTTTTTCTTCATCCATTTTTGAGCAAATCATCAAAGAAATCACAAAAGGTAGTTCCTGAGAACCTTTAAATGCTCTCTTCACCTTTTTCCTTTTTTTTTTTTTTGGTAGTTCCTGAGAACCTTTAAATGCTCTCTTCACCTTTTTCCTTTTTTTTTTTTTTTCGGTGTTTAAAACACCATTTCTGGGTTTGGTTGTGAGGGAAATCTAAAATAACCAAATAGGGGTTTCTGCACCTTTGTGGCGCGAGGCCAACAGTAGTGACGTGTGCCACTTCCTTGTGACTCAAGCCACAAATTGTCAGAAATCTCTTGTTCTTACCCAAAATTCGGTGATCCAGTGGCTACGATCCAATCTAAAAAGGTTTGTGATGCGTATTAGGTCATATATGAATCAAATAAATAAATAAAGCATGATTGAGAGCAATGATTGGTGGAGAAGGATGAACATCAAGATCATGAGCTCAAATCTTATTAAAATCTTTAAATTTCTGTCATTTAATTATTGTCTTTTACTTTATTAGCATTTTATTATTTCTCTGTCATTTAATTATTGTCTTTTACTTTATTAGCATTTTATTATTTCTCTTCTTTATTATTTCAGTCCTTTAAATTCTTGTTATTTAGTTTAATTTTCATTGTTATTGTGCTAACCCTTTATTTATTAATCTTGTATCATTTACATTCGTCTATTCATGCTTGTTGGATGATTGATTGTGTTGTGATTTTATAATTAATGTATACTTCTATGGATACTTGTTATACCTTATTTTTGTTGCTTGTGGTTTGGACTTATTTTTGATTTAAGCTTTTTATTGCCAAATGTAAAGGGTCCTAATTGGATTCCTATTATTGCTTTAATGTAATAATTATTTGGGTTTGAGAAATTTGGAGGGTTTAAGGGTAGATTGTAATGATTAGGGTGGTTTGTAACTCTATTTTCCTCACCTCCTCTTCTTTGATTGATTTATTTTATGTTGTATGGATGACATTAAATGTATGCTTGACATGTTTTCCAAAAATGCATAAAATGTTTTACATCTCAATTTTTAGTTAATTGTATTATTAAATTATTGTGAATTAACAAACAAATAGGAGGCCGGCTTAGCCGAGCAAATGGGACGCATCAAACAAGTGAGATAAGCATACTGACTTGACCATATGACCCTAAACTAACACCTAGAAGACTCTATACGAGTTGCCCATCAAGTGTACACATGATATCGGCTTAGGAAGAGGCCTTCACATAGGGCTTTTTAGACCGAAGTTGTATACCTTGGATTTTGGGGCCTAGAAGCTCCGACATGGAATGGCCTAAAAATGAGTACAATGCTTTCTACATGTCTTATATGAGACATTATGACCTTGAAATGGCATTGCAAGCAACAGACAGAGAGACATTGGGCAAAAACTGCCAAATGCTTCAAGAGTGGCATCGATTTTGCGCATTAATTTATACGGCGTATGCAATTCTTAATGACGGCTGCCAAATGCTTCAAGAGTGGCATCGATTTTGCGCATTAATTTATACGGCGTATGCAATTCTTAATGACGCATCGAGCAGGCGAGATAGGCATACCGATTTAACGAAAAGACCCTAAACCATCACTTAGAAGATCCTATACGGTTACGCATCAGACGTACAGAAGATATCGGCTCTGGAATAGGCATTCACACAGGGCTTGTTAAACCAAAGGGGGTACGCCTTGGATTTTGGGGCCCAGAAGGTCCGGCACGGAATGGCCTAAAAATGATCACAATGCTTCCTACATGTCTTAGACAGAAAAATATGGCCTCAAAATGGCATGGTAAGCAACAAACAGAGAGATATTGGGCGAAAACTACCAAATACTTCTGGAGTGGCACCGATTTTGCGCATTAATATATATGGTGTATGCAATTCATAATGACGAATTGAGCAGGTGAGATAGGCATATCGATTTGACCATAAGACCTTAAACTATGGCCTAGAAGACCATATACGAGATGCCTGTTATTCGTATAGAAGATATCGGCTCAGGGAAAGGCCTTCATACAGGGCTTGTTAGACCAATGGGTATACCTTGGATTTTGGGGCCTAGAACCTCCGCCACGGAATCACCCAAAAATGATTTATATGTTTTAGACAAAATATTATGGCCTTGAAATGGCATGACAAGGAACAGATAGAGAGATATTGGGCAACAACAGCCAAATGCTTTCAGGGTGGCACCGATTTTGCGCATTAATTTATATGGCATATGCAATTCTTAATGCCGTAAGGAGCAGGCAAGATAGGCATACCAATTTGACCACACGACCCTAAAATATCGACTAGAAGACCCTATACGAGCCTGCCGCCAAGTGTACAGAAGATATCGGCTCTGGAACAGGCCTTCACACTAGGCTTCTTAGACCTAAGGGGTATACCTTAGATTTGGGGCCTAGAACCTCCATCACGGAATGACCCAAAAATGATTACAATGCTTTCTACATATCTTGTAAAAAATATTATGGCCTCGAAATGGCATGGCAAGCAAAAGAAAGAAAGATATTGGGCAAAAATTGCCCAATGCTTCTAAAATGGCACTGATTTTGCGCATTAATTTATATGCATATGCAATTCTTAATGACGTAACGAGCATGCAAGATTAGCATACCTATTTGACCACAAGACCCTAAAATATCACCTAGAAGACATTATACAAGATGCCCGTAATTCACAGAAAAGATATCGACTCCAAAACTGGCCCTCACACAGGGCTTGTTAGACCGAAGGGGTATACCTTGGATTTTGGGGCCCAAAAGCACCAGCTCAAAATTGATAAAAAATGATTATAATGCTTCCTACATGTCTTAGACAAAATATTACAACCTGAAAATGGCATGGCAAGCAACAGACAGAGAGATATTGAGCAAAAATTGCCACATGCTTCCGGAGTGGCATCGATTTTGCGCATTAATTTATATGGCATACGCAATTCCTAATGACGCAACGAGCAGCTGAGATAGGCATACCGATTTGACCATAAGATCCTAAACTATCGCCTGGAAGAGCCTATACGAGCTGCCCCTCAGGCGTATAGAAGATATCGGCACCGGAACAGGCCTTCACGCAGGGCTTCTCAGACCAAAGGGGTATACCTTGGATTTTGGGGCCCAGAAGCTCCAGTTCAGAATGACCCAAAAATGATTAAAATGCGTGATTAATGTCTTAGACAAAATATTATGGCCTTGAAATGGCATGACAAGCAA